CAAAGTTCGGCTGTCCTCCTAAAGCCACTAAGATTTTTTTTAAATGTATTCCTCCCATACGAACTTGTAGTTCTATTTATCGTCAAATTAGTAAGTCACATTTGGTCCTTTGAATGCTTCTATTCTCTGGGACAACTTTGTGAAACAGTTCAGCAGAAACGAAAACATGTTTGGGTGCTTCAGTGATGTGTACATGTAAACTGGGTCGTGCAACAATTCTTGTACTTTCAAAAAATACCGCTAAGAGCTAATCCCTGACGTTGGTAACTTCCAAAAACACCATTTAGTTTTCCTCTCCGCCCAATGGCAGATGCAAAAAGAAACAGTGTAAAAGCAGATTTCCCTTCCTCCACTCTATATTAGAACAAGCGGCCAAGTGATCTGACGCTAATTATATACCGTCAGTGTTCATCATAGTCATGCGCTGGGGTTGGCGAAGAATAAAGCATGGGTTGATCTTTTAGACATTGTTAGAGCTCGGCTGTTCTCATCTTTCATCGAACACGAGCCATTACCCTAATGCTTGGCGATGCTGATTGTCGTAAACCCAAGCACTCGACTCGATCACATAACAATCGAGTACATCACGGTGTCACGTGACTCGCGGTGAGAAGTAGTGATGCCATGTGACGGGGGCCACGGTATCAACAACGCTAATAAATCTGTAGTCAGCGGTACCTCAAGAAGGTAGGTCGAGGGTAATCCGGGCTGTGGAGGAGGAAGCAGAAGGAATGCTGGAGAAGAGAGAGAAACCTCCTTCTCTCTTTAGCGTTCCATATGCTTCCTCCTCCCCGGCCCGTCTTACCCTCGCCCTCTCTTCTTGAGTTGCAACGAACTACCGGGTGAAACAATGAGACGGTAGGCTCTTTAAATCGACCGGAAAATTCGGTTTCTTAACCTATCGCGCTACGACTTAGTGCAGCGTCGCCCACAGATGGTGCATTTTTTTTTGTAAAATTTGCAAAGAGTGAACTTACCTGAGGAAAAAGTAAAGAAAGAAAAAGGCTTAGCTCCTATGGAAACGCAGCGACGCCACCGGTCTGCAATCAACACGGCGCCGTTTTGCACGGTAGACAAGAGATGGCGCAACGAACGCCGCCAACAAATGAGCATACGGCGCCGAGAGCCAGCGTTTTTAGCAGACGATCTTTTCGAATCAAAAGCGGCGCGCGTTCCGCAAACGGCGACAGTTGCAGAAACAAAAACGGGCGCGGTAACAACAAGCAACTGCAGTTCCTTGTCTGCTAAAAACGCCGGTTCTCGGCGTCGTCTGCTCGTTCGTTGGCGGCAGTTGGCGTCGCGACCGCTTGCGCCATCTCTTGTCTACCGTGCGAAACGGCGCCGTGTTGATTGCAGACCGGTGGCGTCGCTGCGTTTCCATAGGAGCTAAGCCTTTTTCTTTTTTTACTTTTTCCCCAGGTAAGTTCGCTCTTCGCAAATTTTACGAAAAAAATGCACCATCTGTGGGCAACGCTGCACGAAGTCGTAGCGCGATAGGTTAAGAAACCGAATTTTCCGGTCGATTCAAAGAGCCTACCGTCTCCTTGTTTCACCCGGTATAGTGACGTTCTCAATTTAAGTCGACTCGACTCAGTGAATGACGTGACTACGTCACGGGACCACATGACGTAACATTACTTGACAGCATGTCTTGACAGCATGAAGTCGCGTGACTACGTGACAGATGATTAATCATAGTGCCAATATAAGAGCGCCACGAAAACCCACAATTTCTTATACATTGCAATTCGGCATAGACAATTTGATCACTACTTATAAATACAGCAGCCAATTTTCGTGTTTAAAACATTCATTTTGTAATAAAAAAAATTGCCGTGAACCGTTTTGAACCGGTTACCGTTATATGTTTTTCCGGTTCAGTTCCAAAATGGCGACAAAGATTTCGGTTCGGTTCAGTTCCGGTTCGGCTAAAAATAACGGTTACGTTCCGGTTTTCGGTTCCGTTCGGTTCCGGTTCGACACTCTGTCTGTGTACCGTAGTTTCGGTTGCGACTCCGCCGGGCAGCCTTCCACGCAAAACCGGCGCGACGTGGCCGCTCACGTCGCTCACGAAAGTACACTGCGCGTTCTGTTCGACCTCACACCGTTTCAAAGAAATTGAGATCGCTGTAAGGGCCCTAAGGAAACTTCAAACTTGAAAGTGAAGCGTCATGCGCTTACAGCGGGTGGCGGCAGACATGAAAAAGAGCGGTTGAGCGCGGGACGCAGGCGAACACGACACCTCGGGTTGGGGCGATTCGCAGGAGTGAGAAACACGAGTTGCAGGATGATTCAATCTTTGACGTCACTGCACTGGCGCGGATCTCGCGGGAACTTCAAATTCGGCTTTGGGAAATTGTCTTTTCAAATTTCGAATTTTGAGCGTAATGTCCAGGGATCGTTTTCAATCGTTTCAGATAATAAAATTAAAAAAAGATTCTCACCTCTTATTGCCTGATAAAAAAAAAAGTACTTATAAGCAAAGGCACAATGTTAATTTGCTGCACGTTTCTGAACCCAATATAAGCAACAGTCTACAGTGCTTGACGCATTCGGCCTAAACGTGGGGTTTGCCAGACTCGAAAGTAATTCGTTCCAAGTAACGGGATTACTTGCAATTGATTACTTGTCTTCCAATTTAGTAATATGTTACTTTAAAAAAAGTAATTTGTAACGTAAGCCCATTTCTTTTTCAGTAACGAATTATTCAAATTACTCGTTACCATCCTTCCATCCCGTCAAAGGGAGAAATAGAGTGGAAAAGGGCCTACACAATGGCATTCATGCTTTTAGCATGGTAACACAAGACGGGGGCTCGCTAGCGAAGGTGTTGGCGAGGAAAAAGAAAGGAATTCACGGGAGCGACAGCTGAGACAGGGCCTGTTTCTGGACTCGTTCGCACGGTCAGTCAGGCTGGGAGGATTCAACTGGATATGGAGACAACAGGCTTCGACTTCTTGGAAAACAAACGGACTGCTTCTAACACACAAAAGAGCAGAAATCTGACGGGCAACAAAACTGCCGTTTTGTGTGGCCCGTCAGATTTCTCTGACCGTCAGATCAGAAGCGTGACCGTGAGGCATGTCCGCTCCCCCCCCCCCCTCTCCTCCTTCCCTCCCCGCCCCTCTGCACCTTGTCCCCCCAAAACCAAATCAACGGGTTTTTTTTTTTTTTTGTTGTTTTTTGGACGTTACACGAAACCGCCTTTTGCTTGTCGATGTTTCTGCTACACACGCCCAACCCGCAAACCGAAAAGCTCTAATGAGACCTCGCCCCAGCTCACCCTTGACAACACTGTGAAAGCTAAATACTGGCTGGACCAACCATCTGTGTGACTTCTGTCACTTGACTTTGCACTAGCGGATGCATAAGGCAGAAACATGAGGGGTGCGATGGCAGCAGTTCATTGGAACAGAAAAGACGTAGCATCAACTCTGCTGGCAGTTTGCACACCAACTTTCGACAGCAGGCAATAAGCTGGCCGGGGAGCACAACCAAAACAGCTTAGGACTTCGAAGCTGAATCCATATTTTTAAAAACGAGAATGCTGGGGCTCTTGTCAGCAGATTGCGCCCGTGGGAACTTGGACCAAAATTTAAGGGAAAGGAAACACAGCCAGAGTTTTTCTGAGGATAAACAGTGGCTGACTTGGACACTGGAATTGAGACAGTGTAAGGTGGCTGTAAACGTGCGAGAGACATGGAAGCTTACTGTTCACTGACAATCTTTTTTTTTTTTTTTTCCAAATTTTTGAATGGCAAAATTAGTTTTAGCTGAAAGGTTGTGCAGTAATATTTCGCCTGAAGTTTTGGTTCTGCAGTTTGGCGATCAAGAGAGAAGTTCAAGTGGGTTATTTGGTCGAATAACAACCTTTATCAAGCTGGAGTCTTTGAAATTTACCCAAACGCAAGTACTGCATCTTGGTCCGACAGCCAGCCAGTTTTAGTGGGTAAACCAGCCCCTATATATAAGCAACATGCAGCAAACATTGAAAAACCACATATTCAGGGGAAATCACAATTTTAAGTTTGCGAATGACAAACTCCGATTAATTCAAATGGTGTGTGTGCTTCCACGGCCTATGCGCATTCGTCGCATGTTCATAGGATTTAGTTCTCTGTCCTTCAAAACTTTATAGATTCATCCTCCTAAAATTATTAACCCTACAATAATGGGTAGATTGTACTGGATGTTTTCTTTTTGATGGGGCTCAAATTTGCCCTTTCAAGCACACAGTAGATATTGCATGTCTTGTGTATGTTTCTTTGGAGTAACATAAAAGTAATTGAGTAAAGTAATGAATTATTCAATTACTTTTTATGAAAAGTAATTTGTAACAGTAATCTATTACTTTTTTAGCCAAGTAATTGTAATTAGTATTTTTTTTTTTTTAGTAACGGGCACAAGCCTAGCTGTGCTGCACTCGCTTGCAATTTATTTAGAACTATGAACTGTTGTAGGTTTAAAATAACAGAACAAGTCTCCCACAAAGCTCCCCATTTACCGTGATTGGCAGTTTCCTTCTCTCCAGCATTCGCTCTGCTAAAGTGGAAAGACTGGAAGCCTTGCAGAAGGAGCATGTCCTGCAAATCTAAACCTGCAAGAGACTTTAGCACCTAGCACTCATTTTTTCACCCAACTATGCAATGCAGGTACACATGTTCTACCTCACTGATAAATTAGGCAGGCATTCTTTAAATGCATTAAACAAAGCGTGATAACTATACGTCTCTGTCAGTTGTTTTGCACACTGCAATGTATCTCAGTCAGAATGCAGGGAACAAAAATACAGCCACTAGGCAGCCTAGTGGGACGCCAGGACCACTCACTGCAGATGTCGTGGCAAGTATTAGACAGAGCATGGTAGCACTGTTCTGCGCGTACAGCGTCGGTACAGGTGCCTTAAGCCTACGCCACTCGCGTTATCAGCAGGAAGCAACAGCTGCTCGGAAAACGAGGCCCAGTTTCCGTGATGCCACGAGTGAGACAGAAGCACAAACTTCATGTTGATGTTGTTCCTTTACTGAAAACTTTGCGCGAGGCACTTTCCAGTAAAGTAAGAGAAGGAAAATGACAATTGAAGACCACAAAGTCCCGCAGTTCACTGCTTCTTTCGTTGGAACAGGAGCTTGTCCTTGCCCTTCGCTTTCTCTGGAGGAATTGTCTCGAAGATTTCGTCTATTGGGTTGGAAGGAGCCGGTCCCTCTGCAATCCGGTGCTTCAGGTTGGCCTTCGCTTCCTTGCGTCCCTTGTACTTGCTGGCGGCCGCCTGCTTCAACGTACGCCTGTACTGTATTCGTGAGAAAGCAGGAGCATTGCTGTCAGCTAACCAAAGATTGGGAGAGCCCACCAGGGCCCATTTGCTTGAAGCACTAACCGAGGCTAAAGTTAGCCACAGTACCTAGGAGAGGGATTTTGAAATCACGCGACTGGCTCGGTAAGGATGAGGGGAAACATGGCGGTGCCCCTATGAGTGAGTGCCGCTCGCTTTAGAATGAAGATGTCGTTGTAGTTGCAATATCGGGCGCGTCAGTCAGCAACGAATGGTGCAGGAGGCTTTCGCTTTGCCCTACCTCACTTAAATCACAAAGCATGAGGAATGACCTCGCCACATTTTTTAGAGAGTCCTTTGATTCTGGCCATTCCTAAGCCTAAATGAACGCAATAATTGTTGGCATGGCAACGTCTTTGGAAAGCGGAGCCAGACATTTTTTTCACTACAATTATTGAGGTGAAAACAAATTTAGCTTTTCGTTCGTCACATCATGAAAGCTCGAGGCCACTTAAAACTGGGAGCTAAAATTTTTTTTTTTTTTAACCTATCGTGTGTGTGCTTGTGTGGTGAGAGCATTCCCTATACTCGCTCAAAAACACTTTGGAAGTGAAACAAAGCGAAAGTATAAGAAAACACTTTGAAAGTGCCTTAGAGGAACTAGTTCTCATAGCAACAAAAGCATTCTGCTGAATTAGGCTCACACACCCGCAGTACCTTTGCCTGCAATGTAGACATTTGTGAGGTGGAGCCATAGACCTTTTCACCCACCCTTGCATGGCCGCTGCCATCTCGAAATCACTGATGCGGCCGCCATTACGTTGCATCAACTTGTCGCTCCGCTCTCCCCGCCGCGCCTTGTTGGATGTGTAGTAGTTTTTCGTTGCATTTCACCGTGTTTTGTTTTCTTCTACTTAATTGCTTTACATCATAACACTGTCAACTTCTGCAGCTACTTTTGTAGCACGTTTCGACTATTTTCGCTGCCGGCTTACTGATACCTGTGATGAAGCCATACGATGCATGGGAATTAACGCCCACACTGAGGCACATAGATTACATGGATGACTACAAGATAGCACGAGGGTTCAAAGGCCAAAAAGGGTGGCGTAGCCTCGTCACGCACTTCAAGTGCCTTTTGCCATGTCCCCTGAGCCTTTCTGTAAGGCTGTCTCAAATAAATGCATGCAAACAATCAAACAAAAATTACTTATGACAGCTCGGGCTTCCTTACTAATAGCGGCGGAACATACACAATAAGACGCAAAGAAGTTGACAGAAACAATCAGTATAAAGAACCACTATCTGTGTTTCCAGAAAGCATAGCGTCCTTTGTACTGCTAACAGATAAAAAAACAGTTGATTTAAATTATATGGAAGAACTTGTGGAGAAGACGAGCAACAAATATTTGACGTGTTTTCTTTTCTGATGCTAGGCACTGTGGTACGTCAACATCAGCCCATTCCACACTAAGCGCCCATTCCTAAGTTTGTAAGATCTGAGAAAATATGCACACTACATTTATACAAAAAAATTAATGACCGGACAAGTGCCCAGCCCCCATTTTTTCACGATTATCTCTAAATTTTGAGTGGGTGATTGCCCGGTATTTTATGGAAATTGTTTTTGCGATATAAAAGTTGGCATGATCAAAATATTTATTAATAAAAAAACTTTAAAAAAAAAAACTACTCTGTGCTTTCTTTATGCCTGCAGTCTTTCTAGTACTTTAATAATTTTCTCAAGATAACCAGTCCAATTCAATTAATTTATTTAAATATAAAAGTGGGAACTTCCTGTTTAAATAACTGTCACAGAGAGCTTGAGAGTGCCTGGGGTGCTCTCAAGCTCTCTGTTACCTGCAATATGAGACGCCGAGAAAAAGCTGTCTACATGAAAATCACAAGAGCACAGTGTGGTCGTTGGTGAACAGACATTTACTTTTATCTATGAAGCGCATCTGTTCAAACAGGTAAATATCTCTCTATGCAGGTTCATCAAGTGGGGCCTGGTGTTCGACTTTCGCCAAACTTTCTGAGGATGTTTCTACTGTACCCTCCAATTTTATTTGGTAAATTTTATGGAAGTCAAATTTTGGATTCAATTGGACCGTCTGTCACTTATCTCATATCTCGGATATGCCATAAGCAAATGTTTATTTCATAAGGAAAATATTTGGAGTGCTTTAGCAGGGCCGAAGATTAAATAAATGTCCTAATTGGCCTAGGTCGGACGACGGAAATATTCCTCGAGTACTTATATCGCCAAATAAAAACTTGTTGATACAATATCACTTCTTTCTATAGATTCCCTGCGTCATCATAGGAATCTTTTCACTCTGCGAAGTTCACAAAATGTTTATGTCCTCGAAAAGCAAACACTTAGCAGTAAACTTGCGAGTTCATCTGTTCTTCACAATTCTGCATATTGTTAATCGGGTTGTGGGCCTGCTTCTTCGCTATGCAATAATGCATTAGTGTCTTCATTAGTTTATTTTTCTGTGAACTAGTGCCTCTGGGCACGACCATAGACAATGGGAATCCTCCTCAAGCATCGGTTCAGTCGTTTCATCGCCAAACCTAGCCAAAATTAACGATGAAAGCAATCAAACGCATCAAACGTATACGTAAAAATGCTCGCAACCGAGGCTCAAAACCCCTTTGTGGACGTCAAAGTGGCTCAGTACCACTATTTCTTTGGTCATTGGCTATACAAGGGAAAGACTTGTATCACAAAATTAAGCGAAAATGACATGAAACAGCAACACAGCCGCGTGCACGTCAAAACCAAAACCAAACTAATTGAAGCAACCTAATGGCGGCGAATGCATCGGCGCCCTCTATCCACCAATCAGACAACTGCCGAGATGAAAAAGTCTATAGGGGCCATACTCACATGTGGTCATCAGCACAAAACGTGGCCAAAGTACCTTAGGGCCACTCGAGTCTACAGCTTTGACAATGCAAAATTAATATGGTGAGAGCTCACTGTCAACTCATGCTATGGACCAACGTGTACAGCTACGGCAGTCGGTCCATATTTCGTACACAGCTGTACTCAGTAGAACTAAATATATGGCAGACGAGTCTAGCCTACAAGCATGCTCACAAAACCTAAAATATTGTTACAGGCACGCACAAAACTTTAACAAGTTCTCCTGCTCGTGCAGCACAAACAAATTACCGTTGCCTCAATTACCACTTTAAGGTGAAACGAGTCAACAGGAACCTATAGTCCCATGCTCGAAGCTTTGTGGAATTATTAAAGGGGCAATTGCAACGATTCTAATGTACAAACGATTTACAGCACATACTTTTTTTATATCCTTTATTTAAGCACGAGTGCAATTGCTAAAGGAAAAAAAAGAACAAATTATTTGCCGACCTGCAGTCGCGTGTGGCGGTTATGGGAACTACGGCGACACGTCTCTAGAGGACACGCCAAAAGCCCCGTGGAGAACCATTTTTTGCTCGCCGCGACTTTTGACGAGGCTTATCCTCGAAAAGTCGACAATCGCGGAGGAAGTGGCTGGGATGCCTGAAGAGAGAACCACTGGGAAACCAAGTGATCCCCCAGAGTATGTCACTCGAAAGACGATAAGAAGAGCCGAGAGGCACTTTGACCTTCCGTTTGTTTCATTTTTTTTCAAATAAATACTAGCGCACGCAAGAAAATACGGCTTTGTTTTGTTCGTTCCGTCAGTTACACAGATTAATTCCCACAACTAATTGGCTAAAGTGTGAAAATCATTGCACCGCCCCTTTACGAAACGTGTCACCAAACAAACCAGGCTCCTCTTCGGCAGTAAAAAAAATTTGACCAAAGTTTACCTGTCCAAATTCCGTCCTTAATTAAGGATAAACGGTGGTTGTTGGGCTTTTGTAGATTTTCTCCCATCAGTTATGCATCAAAGATAACAATGCCATGCATCTGATGAAACGAGACTGCTGGACAGAACAGTGTAGAAGAAAGATTTCCAGGAAACGTCAGTTAGTCGCAAACATTCCAGAGGTGGCACCATTTTTGTCATCGCTGGTCTGGGCCTCTCCTCTTATCAACCAGAACCAGTGATTTTTAAACTTTTGTACACGACGGTCGAAACTGTCGTGCCTAAATGTGGGATTTGAGGGATTCAATCGACAGTTCTTTAACTTGATTGGTTAATGACACCGTAAAGTCCCTAGATTTGACTAAGACACTATAGAATTCATGCAAAATCCCTCAACCCACTTAGCCCTATTATCTATTCCCGTTCTGCTAGCATTTCACTAATGAAACCAAATCTTGAGCTACCCGATTCAATGACTTAAATTTTCCAAAACCCATTAGTGCGGTGCAAACTTCTTACGCAGCCTCCAGACCAAGCATCCTGCAATGATCGCTGGTATAAAATTGACACTTCTCGTTGCAGTACAATTACGTTCTTAGAATTTTCTTTTTACCCAGAACTAACAGAGGGGAACCACCATCCCCTCTCCATTACTTCTGAAGATGCATAGTCTCTCAAAGTAAAACCTACATGTCGGTTTTTAAAAGTGTGTGGAATTGAAACGCAAACAAGGGACCAATAGAGGAATTAGTACACAGTGCACTGCTCGCCTGGCAGTTGTGAAGCTAGTTTGTACTGCGTCAGACCCATGAGTACAGCCCCTCGAGGCACGAGAGAGGTATTTTCCTGGCGCTAAGAATCAAAATGGGGACACTGTAGAGGAACATTGGACTCACTGCACTGGGTGTGACGTAGTGAGGGTTGCTGTAGATCACTGGTCCTCCAAAGCTGCCCTCAAACACCTTGATCGGGTTCAACACGAAGCGAGGACCTGCAATCCCAAAGTATGCGGGAGATACAAAGATTAAGATGCTGTTTTTCTTACTGTCTTCTTTCTCGATAGCGTGCTGCAAAGTTAAACAAAACTACAAAAAAAAAAAGATTAGGACACACACACATATAGGCACTTCCATGTATATCTCCTCTCTTTTCTGTCTTACACCGTTTCACCAATGCACACAAAGTTAATGCCACAAGCATGAGCAGGTTATCTTGAATGAAGCTATCACTTGACGAGCATGCCAGCATACCAAGCCCACTCGAAGCAGCGGACTTGCTCCTGTAGCTTCTCCTTCACTAGCGCTTATGCTGATACAAAGCAGACAGTAAAATACCAAGCAAGCGGCCTCACTAAATTTTTAAATTTTTATGTGAAAAAAAAAAAAAAAAAAATGGGCATTTGTTAAGTTGGAATGCCAAAGAGCAGAAAGGATATAAAGATAGGCCCTTGCTAGATCTAACAGAATGGTATGGGAGCAGTATAACGGTCTGGCAGAGCCCCAAATTACTGCAATATTCCTGTACTGATCCCATACCTGTTCACCTGATAGTGTGCAAGCCTGCTTCACACCGGTGCCCATGCATCAAGCTTTAGTGCTTCCCACCGGCGTAAGAGCGCAAGTAGACAAGCGGCTGACGCAGAGGAACATCTCGGTTAGCACGGATGACAACAATGTGCAACTTTCAATGAAGACTTAAAGGGAGCTGCGAAAGGCCACTGACTTCCTTTGATTTCTTTGGTCATTTGACTCTGAATCCCTCATTTACAATCACTCAAGCCTACTCGAACACATAAACTCACTCCAATTCAGGAGACTCAAACTCATTCCAATTTAGATGACCAAGCTTTTTGGGGTATTAAAACAATTCTAGACATTATTTTCTTATCTTATTTCAGAAATACTGTGGATGGTCTTTCACCATCCAAGCAGGAGTGGGCTATGTAAATTTTCTAAAACAGATATATTTGGAGCATCTATGCAGTCGGAGGGCACGCCCGAAAGGTTGTGTTGGGGTATACTAAATTTATGCGTAAAAGTACCATGCATTCTACCCCAGTCTTTCCTGGCGGTTTGTGAACTCCCTTCTAGGGTTGCCAAACAGGTTGAAACTCCCCAGCCACTACGAATTTCCAGGGATTTTCCCCCCTTCTAGGTAGACGCCCAGCAAACGGGCACTTCGTTATTACCGGGCAGGGGGGAGCAACTGCGCAAAAAAATTACTCGCCAATCTCGACGAGCGAGCCTTCCTCCTCGACGATCTGGTAGTTGCGGAACCATATCCGGTGGTCCAGCAGCGAGAAGGTGAACACGTGGTCGACAAACGGCTGACTCTTGGGGTGGTGCCTCGGCGTGCCAAACACCTGTCGGCGAACGGGAAGGAAAAATCATGCTCCCGAGAGATTCTCGAGATTCTCGCCGACACCACAGTTACATAAACCGTTTGCTAAAGCCGGGCGGAATGTTAATGGGTCTGCTGAATGTAATACCCGGTCAGAGTGACAATTTACTGTCAGTTCCATTGAATGACGTTTGAGCGACTCCAAACACAGAGCATTCCACGCCAGTGGGGAGGCTTATGGGGCTTCAGCCTCTCCCCGAAATTCAACCGACCCTATAACATACACAAGCATTTTGACCCCCTGTCCCCCCTCCGCACCCCATGCCATGGACACTTCAAATGCCTCAGCCCCCCTCCCCAAAAAACATTTCTGGCTACACCACTGTTCACGCGCGACAGATCACGAGCCGATTCGCCGAACAATCAAATGTCATTTGATGGAACAGACATTAAATTTCCAGTCTGACAGCGACATTACATTACGCCAGTTTACTGGGGATGCACAAGATATGGTGACCACACTTTGAAACTTTTGTAGAGAAAAAAGGCACACTGGCCAATAGACCGACACACGGCCCCGACGTCAAGCAGCTGCGGTGGCGTTGTCGACGGGACTGTGCATGCGCAGACGCTTTACTTCACGCGAATTCAGTTTCTGCGCACGTGCAGTGCCCATATCTGATGTGGGCAAACGCGGGCTTGTGTGTAAACAGCGTGTCGGTCTATACAACAACTTCAGCAAGCAGTTTGTGTAAAAAAACTTCTGCCAAAGTACACTGAAACTGTCAAGGGTGACAGAATTTTGAAAACATTATTGCCGCGGATGGAACTCTACCAAAACAATGGTGAGAAATGAACACTACCTGGATTCAACTGTTTCACATTGCAAAAAGAAAGCAAAGACACAATGTAGAAAGCCGAGTAAAGATTATAGTTTGGATTCAGTGTTTTCGTAGTCCATTTTTCTTCAAATTCGGAAGGTGTTTTTTGCAGTCGATTTTTTGCCGAAAATTCAGAGTTTATCTTTGTTTAATTTTCAATTCTCCGAGATGTAGATTTTAATTTTGCAGTGCTTTCTATTATAAATAAATAAATAATATATGAGTGTACACATATGCAACATAAAAAAATAAAATGTGCATGTATCAATATTTCTTCAGCTGGATTTGGTGTTGGTGCCATAGCCATTGGCAATACTAATTTGTCTCACAACAAAAGATGCACCCAAGTGTTGCTTTGATAAACATCGATACCTTAAAATCAATAAACCCCTGGAGGTAGTCGCTAAGAAGCTCGTATTCATCCCATCCTATTCCATGAACCTGCCCCGGGACCGCGCGAGGTGCAGTGGCAAAGGAAGCAATAGAAAAGTTTCAACTGCCCCTTTTCCCCCATTTTATGCAATCCCTATGGTTTATAGCTGTCACTGCTACAAAAACACTTCTTCCTTTTAAAGCACATATAGTATGGCCTAAACTGGAAACTAAAACAATGGCTTTTGTCGTGACCCAAAAGTACAATGACCTGTTGTTCTGAATGAACCTTGATGTGATTGGTAAGTGGTTAGGCCCCTTTTGACAATGGTCCGAGATTTGAAAAATAACTGTGGTGGAATTTTCCCACGACTATTGATTATGTGCACTGATCAGATGGTAATTGTAAAAAATTTTCTTTGTATTCGCCACCATCTGTCTCTCCTTAGCAGCCAACTACATACAGCGAATATCTTGGTATGGAAAAGCAGTCACACAGCTGAATCGACAGATATTTAAGCAAACTTCTCTTCCACGAACCGAGATGGTGAACGCGTATTCATCGGGAATGTGTGGAATGCATGGACCAGACAATTTCTTATGGCATGTGGCGACGACGCTCGCCTCCTGCAACTTGTAGGCGAGCAGGGTGGCTAGAGATCACGCAAAGCCTCACCTGACACAGCAGCTCTTTGAGCAGCTTCGTGTATGGGTTCTCGTTGAATGCCTGAAAGAGTGGGCGAAAGCAATGTAGAAGGCGTACGCCTCGAGCCCGCACGAAAGTCACTTTCACTTTTGTCGTCTGCATTGTAGCCATCGACGAATTAAGAAACGTGGGGTGAGGAGATTCCCAAGCGGCTCACTTTAGCTGCGCAGTCAACGAAACTGTGGCATTAGCTGATAAGGATGCCAAAGAACAAACGCCCTGTAAAAAGTGTAAATGCAATAAAAGGCACACTTGCATTTCTTAAGGGGTCATTGACACCCCCCAAAATTTTCATTTTATTTTTTGCCAAGCAAATTATTATCTTTCTACAGTGTAACATATAACTTTGACAAAGTTTAAAAAAAATGCAACTGCTTGAAACCAAAATTGGGCTGGGGAGGAAGAAAAAATATAGAGGAGAGAGCTGGTGGGAATCACGTGGCTGTGGAATTTTTTTTTTTTTTTCTTCGATCAATACGTTTGACTTTTTAGAAGCCACAAAAAATCGGTAACATATTTTTAAAAAATTGGTATCATATTTCTTTGCTATTTTTAATAATGAGTGTGTGCCTTCCATGACCCACGACTTTGATTATATTTGGTGGTTGTGTCAAAACCACAGAAAAAGGCACGTGACCATGAAGAAGAGAGTGAGCGAGACTCAAACCGACCAGTTCTGGTCGGAAGTTTTCAAGCGGAAAGAAAATGAATTGCAAATCGCGTTCTGGGTAGTTAGGCTCTCATATGTCATGTACAAATAAAAACCTTGGCGAGCATAAATACCCTGTCAGTGTTTCTTTAAGATACCCGTGACTACAGACATTCAACACAGCCATTGTAATGCTACTTTAGTGAGTTCAGGCAAAGTATCATCCGAAGAATGAGGAGGCCACTCATACCTTGTCAAACGACAAGAGCGGTCTGGACCCCTTCAGGCAGTTTCCTGTCATCTTGAGCTCTTCCATGGTGTGAACTGTTGGAGCAAACGAGACACGGGTCAACATGCGGAACGCGCAACAAAATATGGCGACTTGCCAGCGCGCGGCCGACACATGACGTACCATTCTCCACAAGGAACTTCACCGAAGGACCATTGGGCACGTTGGACATCCTGGATAAAAAAATAAGAATCTGAGATTCAAGATGGAATTAAGAGCTGCCCACACAGAACGTGACTCCCTCGAATTCTTAGAAGACATGACTTTGCTTCCCATAAAAGTGTGTGAAAGGCGCCCCTAACCCCAACTTCTATTTTACTTGGCACGCGTGCCTATGGGGAGCGCATGCGAGTTCTGTTGTGAATGACAAACGTGTTCAGTGCAAACAGCCCTTTAGACCTTACATTAATTATGTAAGGTCTAAAGGCTCGTCCTGTGTACTCCTTTTCCTCCCGTCCTTGTCGTTTGCGCGCTGTTTCCATTATTTCTAAGCATGAACCAACTCGCCCACATCGCTACTCTGATTAATTATGTATTTGCAACAGAGCCATTCTTGCTATTTTATGTGCGCAAAAGAACATACGACAGGATGCAAACCAATGTGTACTTCTTTAACCCTTTGACGGTCATTGGCCATCACCACACACGTATCGGGGCGATTACACATTCGAAATTCCCCGCCTAAACGCCAAACTGTGTGCACCCTGGGGGAAGCTGCTTTTTGTTGTCTTTAAAGAAGTATGAGGGTAGATTGAAAAGTTTCCGGAATGAAAATTAAAACAATATATATCTGATTTAAGTTCTACTTTATTTTTCGACATAATCCCCCCGAAGCTCTACACCAGGGGTGGCCAGGCTGACCCAGCCTAAGAGCCGCAAACAAAACCACGCAACTTCCAAGAGCCGCTTGGGGGGGGGGGACTTTTGTCCACAGCAATAACCAAAACTCAAACTACTTTCAATCTATCCGAGTAAAAAGCAGTCTAACTGTATGTAACGTAGCAGTAGCACGAGACAACCAAACCGCAACCTGTCTCGATTTAAAACACGTTTCAATTCTTTTTTTTTGGGGAAGTGCTCGTATGACCGGGAGGGAAGCGGGGCAGTGTGTATGTGTGTGTGTGTGTGGGGGGGGGGGGGGGGGGGGGGGGGGAGGGGAGGGAGTTGCCAGTCGCACTTTAACACGCGAGGAGCCGCAGCTTGGCCACCCCTGCTCTACACACTTGGTCTAGTGTTTCTTCAGCTTTTCGATTCCCTCCCGGAAGGGACTTCCTCCGAGATCCCCAAAGCAACTGTTCACAGCCTCCATCACCTCTTCATTTCACACAAATTTCTTTTGAGTCAGGAAGGTCTTGAGCTTCGGGAATAGGTGGAAGTCCGAGGAAGCCAAATCCGATGAATATGGTGGATGTGGATGGATTTCGATCTTCAGTTTTTGCTGAGCGACTGCACTTGGATGGGCGGGTGCACTGTCGTCATCAAACAACACCTGTTTCTTGACTATTCCCGGGCGTTTTTTTTTAGATTATTTGTTTCAGTTTGTCCAAAAATGTTATGTAGTATTGGCCAGTAACAGTTTTTCCCTTTCAAGATAATGAGAAAAATTCCTTTGTTGTCCCAAAAACCTGATGCCATCACCTTGCCTGCCGACTGAATGGTATTTGCCTTCTTTGGAGCCGACTCATGGGTCCAGTGCATTGGTTTGATTTACTTTTTGTTCCTGGTGTGTAAAGGTAGATCCAGTTCTCGTCCATAATTACAAATCGTTGGATTTGCCTGAAACACTTGTAACCTATCGGCTGACGTTTGGGCTCGAATGCATTTTTGCTCCAGATAGAACAAGTGTGGCACCCATTTTGCAGAAAGTTTCTTTAATCCCAATTAATTGTGTAAAATATCAACAACTCGTTCAGAAGAGCTTCCCACTGCTTCCTCGATTTCACACTTTTATGAGACGGTATTCGAAAACCAAGAGATGGATTTTATCCACAATTTCTGGTGTGGTAGCTGTTTTTGGACGTCTTGAATGTGGTTCATCACTTGTGTCCTTACGACCTCGCTTCAATTTGAAAACCCCAAAACTCACGGTGGAAAACAAAGGTGATGATTCCCCCAGAGCGTTTAACCTGAATTTGATATCAGCCACAGTTCTTCCCTCCAAATAAAATTATTTGATGACCGCTCATATTTCGTTTTTATCCATCATTAAAAATGTTCTTGGTTGTTTGACTAGAATGCTCACCAAAGTCAGACGTTTTAAGATATCAATCTGACATTTGGATGGATGGATGGATGGATGATAATGGCTATACCCCTTGTAAAGGGGCTGCAGCTTGTGCCGCCTAGCCTAACATTTCATCATCCCTTATTTTATTTTTTTATAAACTTGTATCAGGGCCGTACCCGGAAAAAAATTTCGGGGGGGGGGGGGGGGGGGTTCGGGGACAACGGCGGCCATATTGAAAGTGTCTATTGTCTTATTTTCGCCTATGAATCATGTGCATCAGTGGCCTATAATGGAGAGTTAACACAAACCGGAGAACCGTAGCCGACCGGCGCCACTGCACGTGCGCAGAGGTGGAGATTAAAATCGGCTGGCTGCCAGTGCACCGACCAGGGCCGTACCCAGAAAAAAAATAATTTCGGGGGGGGGGGGGGGGGGGGGTCAGAACCCCTTAACCCCCCCCCCCTGGTTACGGCCCTGACTTGTATGAATTTTGTTATAACAGATTCCCCCCCCTTTGAAAGTGATTCCATTGCTTATTTTTATCTGTATTTCTTTTTATTTTTCTCTAGATCTCTTTCACCAATCTTCCAATCTTCTCTTAGTTACCGCAATTCTTTCTCTATCCATTCGTCCATCCATGCCCAGAAAACCCAGTGCCCCCTCCAAATCCGTAGTCATCTCCCAAAGGGGGTGGGACGAAGCCCCGTGCATTTTAAGGTTACATGTTCTATAGTTTCCCATTCTAGCTTCAAACACCAAAGAGCTCCCCACTGAATTATCATAGAGCTGTTCCTTCTTTATTTCTTGTTTTTGTACCCTGTATATTGTAAAAGCTGATTTCCCCCGCATTCTCTCTTCCCACAAATTCCTCTCTGTTTCCTTTACTCCCTTTTCTACTGATATGCTCTGATCGGCTCCATCTCGTTGAATACATTTCATTCTCAGCTTGCGGGTTTGGTTTGTCCACTTAGTGTTTAAACTTTTCATATATAGATACTTGTACACTTTCGCTGCCCACCGTATATCCTCAATTTCAGCTAGTCTTTGTTCAAATTTTACTTTACTGATCGCTCCTCTACCCTCAAAAGATGCCCAACCCATATCCCCCTGTACTCCCTCATTTGGTGTATACCCATGTGCCCCCAATGCCAACCTACTCACACTCCTTTGCTGTGTCTCTAAACCTGCCTCAATTTCTGACCTTATACACAATAACGGAATCCCAAATGACAGTCCTGGCACCATGACTCCCTTCAATACACCCCCAACGACTTTATATCTATTATAGTTCCATAGTGTCCTGTGTTTCATGATAGCTGAATCTCGTTTCCCCTTCTTTATTACAATATCTTCATGGTCTTTTAGATACCGTCTTCCTTCACTTAACAATACTCCCAGATATTTGTACTTTCCTACGTGTTCTGTCAGTCTGTCCTGTATCTCCAGGGGTTCCCCCTTCTGGTCATTTCATACGAAAGGGTTGCCAACACAGCGACATAAAAATATTTTGAAACAAAATGGCCCTTAATGGCGATTCCAGAAACTTTTCAGTCTAACCTCGTACCAATGTCATGTTCGTGCAGTGTATTGCTTTGCTGGGGCTATTTATAGTTTCAAGACTGGATGCTATGCACACGTGAAATGCGCGTAGTGTCCAGATACCTTCAATACTTCTGAAAGTATTTGCAAGATACCAAGTTACTCCCAAAAGTATTCAAGATGCAGTAACTTGAATAGAGTTTTTAAGTTACGTACCAGTCTGGCACAGCTGACACATGGCAGTCACATTTTCAAACTTCGAATAAGAGCAAGTGCCAGAGCAAGCTTACCATAGGTACAAATCCTTCCTCTTCTTGTTTTCGAAATATATACACTTGTTGCAGTTCTTCATTTCGCAGATCTGAAACGACAGTTTATGCTCAGTCATGTCACTGCTAACAACCTACCTCATGGTGGCAACTCCACATCTCGGGACAAGTATAAAGTACCTCGTTGATCACAACAAGGGGATCCTTCTTCTCCATCTTTGACTCTAGAGAGAGAAAAGCAAACAAAAGGCACCTCATCGACTCTTCTGTTTTCGAATACCTAAGATTCGAAATGGAAAGAATGCTGCTTTTATACCTGGCTTCGAGTGTGGTAGCATTGTGCGCAGATTCAGCATCAGATGTCGATCTCGGAACGTTATGCCTCGCGACGCAAAGATCATGACCCGCTGTTTGTTGATCCATTTCGTCTGGTAATTAGAAACATCGAACCGAAAGGAAAACGTCATCAATCTGTAACAACAGCGCGACACTTCGATAAGGTAAGTGCACCACTAAGCTCACGCAAGTCGTACGTCAATGTTCTGACAAGGTAATGGCAACACAGTGAGGGCGCAGGCAAGCGCAGGCAATCTCTGCCTAAGAGCGGTAAGTAAAAGCGGTAAAAAACGAGTTGAAAGGAAAATCGTTAGAGTTGGTTTGAGACGTCGTCTGACTGACTCCTTTTCCTGTCTCTTCTACTTTTGGTTGCTTCAAGGTTTTTTCACACCCAGTCTCAGGTGTCTTAACATAAAGGTAATGGCACTACGAAGCTCATGCAAGGCCTATAATAACGTAAACACAGCTAGCGCCTGGAACGGGAATTCATATTTCGCTCTCCGGCATCACAGCTTCCAGCATGGCCGCGTCAACTGGGGTGACAAACCGACAGCCGACGACTAACACGAGAAATGGTGTTTAGAACAACCTAGATCAAAATAGTCCTTGCATGATTCGCATACCTTTTTCTGCGGAGGTTCGTCCGATTTCCGAGAAATCGGGGGTAGAACCTCTTCTTTTTCGGCCGGTTCGACATCCTCTTCAGCCGCACGTGAACGTCGCTTGCGTTTCGCCATCTTGTTTTTTCTGCGGTTCTGCCTTTCCTCCTCCCTTCAAAAGCGTCCCGCAACTCGACCGAAATAAACTTCAAAATACCGAAGTTACTCATTTAGCAAAACATTAATTGCATAATCTAAAGTTAATTTATAAAATGAAACGTAATTACAGGTAAATTAATACAGCTGGTTTGCTTTGTGGTTTTTGCGATGATTTTGTCACTTTTGTTTACCCCGGGGCACGCGCACGCGCAGTAGCGAGCATCGCTCTCGGTTGTTTCACGGACTCATCGGTATCACCGACGTTCTTCTCAACTACGCAAGTTTCGAGCCTAAACTACAGTAAATGGTCGTAGTCAGTGCTGCAAACTCGCTCTGTCTTCGGATTAGAGCGTAGAAAAAAAAAACATACAAGTTCGTCTTCCTTTCTGAAGCGCATCCACCAACGGCGATGGATTCCAACGGAAAAGAATCACCGCAGGGCAAAGCCCGAGGAATACCATCCGTTGAGACAACACCAGCGCGACAACCAGGCGAAGCCGACGGCGGCACCAGCCGTGAAAACAGGATGACAGGTCAGCTCCCGTCCATTCCTCGGTCGACGTTTCTGATCGCCTTAACTTCTACCGCGACGAGTTGGCCGAGAAACACGGCGGTTGACGCGAACAACACGAGTTAGGAGAAAACGGCGTTTGTCTTTTCTTCTCGCACTGTGCCGCTTGCGAGCGACGAGCTGTTGACAAAAGAACCTCTGTTGATCGTTTAACTTCGCTTCGTGAAAGAAACGGATCAGCGATGCTTACACTTTTGACGCTAGCAAGCAGAAAACGGCACGGCCTGCCGATCTATCCCCCCAAATAAGCGGCGAAAAGAAGACTCCGTTTTCTGTTTTTTTTTTTTTTTTTTCTCTTATAGGCTTGCTTTGTGAAGTTATCGTGGTAAAGCTTTGGCGTCACGTCCGTACGTCTTTTCGAACAGGTTAACGGGTGTTGCGCAATCGCCGGCTTTCCTGTGAACGCTGTGAACATAAGCCGGATTGGAACGCCACACGCTCGCGCCGGCCCAGCACGTTCCAAACGTGGCATCTTGGAACGCACGCGAAAAAGATTTTTTTGCTTGTTTGTTTTGTTTTTGTTTGATTTTGATAAATTTTAAGCTCGGTTCGTCGGCACCGACGAGCCTCTCTCGCCGCTGAACTAATATCCACGACAACGTGTTTTCCTCTCATGATCAGCCCCTTTTGAAACTTAGGAAGTGCCATATTTCTTAGCTTCATCAACTCGTCGTCTTTTATTTTCGTGAAGAGGTGTTTTTTTTTTTCTTTAAATCGCTGGATGATGGCATCTGTCGGTTCGTACTGTTTTTTTTCTTGCTGTTGCACTGCGTGTTTTGAATTCCGTTTTTCTTGCATCTGTATCGTTGCAGATGAGAGCGGCGCAGTACGTTCCGTGGAGAAGAAAAGCACGTTGTCTCCCCTCGCACCTGTATTCGTGCCGAAACACTTCAAGATCCAACTGAAGGAAGACAACCATTCTGCTGTCAATGAGGTGACTAATCTTATTTTTCCCTGTGCCATTGACACTGTTTGTATAAGAACAAATGTGTTATATGTTTGTAGAGCAATGGTCTTTAAGTGTTGTGTACGTTGTAATGTCACAACTGCATTGAATGTAATGTGAAAGTCTAAATGAGACAGCCAGATATGATGGGCTTTGTGAGCTTAACCTCTCAGTGTCTGGTAATCTTCACTCCTTATTGTTATGTCTGGTTTCATTTTGAATTGCGCTGTACACAAAGACAACGATCGGGGCACATGGGCAATGGGATCTGAGTCGCTGATGGCCAGACTAAAATAAAACCTCATGTATTCGGTGCTACTGTCCTTGTGTGCGCGAACACAACGCTTATGAACTATCCTACAACATTTCGGATCAGTAGGGGAAAAAGAGATGTGTATTATTATGGGTAGTATAGATAACATGTTTTGTCGCAACATCACCGGGTTCCTTGGCCCACTAAGGGACTATAATGAAGACTTGAGGTTGTGCGAGAAACCAAAAATAGAATGCCGACAACATTGTCTGTTGATTTTCTTTGCTCGGCCTTGGTGCCTCGGGTATTAGTTGTGAACCCCTAAAACCCACTTTGCCGTCCTTATCAGCTTAAGTGCCACGAGGTGCGTAGCTTCGCAGCAAGAGAGTCTCTGTCCAGTTGCTTGGGAACGATGTCAGGGATGTTTTCAGTGATTGTGGTGAGCACCATTTCCGGTGCACTCGCTATGCTTTTTCTGCCATGCATTAGAACGGTTGATGCTGGAGATCAAATTAGGGTAAGACCCTTATTGGAAAGCTTTGCATTGAGAATGCCTGATGCTCTTCACTTTACTGGAGCTGTGGTTAGACGACGAGAGTTTGTGGTATCTTGAACAATGTTTGACATCAGATGCTGCGTTTTGTAATGTTAATTTTTCTGAGGTTTCATTGCGCTTCTTATCTCTTAGTTCAGGAATTCTCTAATTTTTCAATTTTGAGGAACGCCTATTCTTGACTGATAGCTGAGGAGAGTCTTCTGGTCCCAGTATTGATGCATGAAGCGGTGCAAAAGCCTACAAAGCTCATGAACAATAAGGCACAAACAAACGGGCGCGCGACTCAATTATGCATCGATTGGGGGCTTAGATCTGCTAAAATAATGCTTAAACTGGTAAAACACTTCACTTGGGGGAAGGGACAGAAATCTGGGAACTCAGGCAAGCCCTGAGGGTTCTCTGGGAAACCCCTTAGTTAGCAAGATAGGTTATGTTACAGATGCCGCTGAACTGTGCATTCAGAAGTACTCTAAATGTCCGTAAGAGTGTGTAGTGGCGGTCTAGTGTGTATATGTCCACATTTGCTTGTACTAACCAATGTTTCTCCATCTGCATTTCCAGTTTAAGCTGGGAATGCATTTAGCAGACTTAGCAGATGAGTCTCTGAACTTAAATGCTTATGTAGCTTCCTTTGAGGATCTATCTGAGGATGTGTGTTTATTGGCATAAAATGTAACGGAGTTGTGTGAATTATTGCACAGAAATTAAATGGGCCTTCTGTTTAAGCAAGTTCCCAACATCTGGCCGCGTCGTCCCAAATCTAGTTTTTAAACCGATGGTGGCAGCGTCATGGTTCGAATGTTGAAAATTAAGATCACCGTTGGCAGTAATCTGTGGCAGCTCGAACTGCCTGTTCTGACAACAAAGTTGGTTATTAGTTACGTGAGTTTTTATTTTGTTTTTCTTGCGTAGCCCTACTCTTACCCAATGGTGGAGCTGCTGGGGTTCATCAACGACGTGACCCTGAGTCCTGCCGAGTTTGACGCCAAGATTGTCTACCTCACAAACGCTCTGGAGTGTGTGTCTGACGTGAAAGGCCTCACTGCAGTCGTCGACGCCATTTTCGACAAAGTAAGCCCCTTCTTTGGTAGATCCACACGGGGGGACCGATCCGCGGACAGGTTGATCACGTGACGGCACATCTACGGATCGTGCGGCTCCCAAATGCATTTCCACTGACTAGGAGATGAGCAGACGACAGCGAGGACGGATTGTGTCAATTCGTGACCCCACAGCACCGCAAAACGCCAACAGAGCACTGTGGCACTGTCATCCAAGAGACTAGTCACAATTGAGGTTTCAATGAAAGCGATCCCTCTGCTTCAACGGCTGCAATCTATACATTATGACAAAAAGGAGCAGTTGTGTGCCAGTGCCATGTATCGAACGAGACAGAACATTGTGATAGGCTTAGCACGGAGCACTATTAGCTTTACCAGGATAGGATTGTTTATTTATAAACAATCCTATCCTGGTTTGCTACTTTGCAAAAAAAAAAAAAAGGGGAGAGTAGGGTTGGAGACTAGAAAGAATGAAAGGGATGATAAAGAGAGACAGTAAAAAAACAAAACAAAAGCTTTATCAGAGTCCTTCAATACTTTACTGGTCACGAAACTTCGGCCAGAGTTTGGTACATGGTCAACAGCTGCAGCCAGGGGCGCTGCTGTCCTCTTGGTGAGCCGCCCCAAATTCCCGATGACAAGTAGTTTTCAAAAAACAATTTCTCATACACTGACATTTTGTTATGCCTCATTGCTCAGTGTATGCAAGCAGCAATCATTCTTTATTGGTCTGCAATAAAAGAACTTGCAAATAAGCTTTTTATAATTTGTTTTTAAACAAAACAATGTTCTGCGAGCAAAAAAGAGCCCGGCAGGCTGAGTGTATAGGTTTGCAGTGCCCCTCCTTAATGGTGCTGCTCGTAGCGCCGAATTTTGAAGGTGATAGCGGTATTAAAAATTAATTTTTAAGCAAGAAAAAAAAAAAAAAAGGAATGAAGAAATATTATTTTTGAGAATGTTGCAGAAAGGAGAGTCTGAACAGTTCACTGAGCGCACAGCTTCGAAGATGCTTACATTAACAAGAAACGCTGCCAGTGCGTCGCCGCGAAATGTTGGCGGCTCGCTTGGAGTGGGTTCGAAATTTCGATCCCACTTTCCGGTTAGTAGACTCCCAGCGGTGCTGACTAGACTGGCGACTCTTAGCCTCGTTGCCAGCGGCGCGCATGGTCACGTAACAAATTTTTCTGACTAGTGGCATTTTGAAGAACTCGGTGTTGACTAACGCCATGCGTGACACAAGTATGGTCCTGCTCGAGGAGGCTCGGCGTAGGTGCGACTGAGTCCTGCGTGGGCTCGTGAGATGCTTTCCTGCCCCTCGCGCTCATACGGACACTTCAGTACACTGCATCTGCAAAAAGGTCTGGCTGAATGAAAGGAAGCATGGCAGCGTGCTTGGCAAGATTTGACACAGTTGCTCGACGCGGACCCAGAGAAGTGCCGGAACCTGAACCGTGTCATCCAGGAACAGTCTCTGTAGCTTCTTTCATGTGGTGTGGAACAAAGAACCTTGCAACAGAACACAGTAGTGAGCCATCTTCATTTGAGAGAAAACTTTTGTCCTCGACTAAACACAGTTCAAGTCAGTCCCCCACCAAAAAATCCGCAAGTGGAAAGGCTTGTTGAGGTCCTCGTTCGAGGATGTGGTATGGGAATTGATGTGGTCACATAAGGCACTAACCTATGTGGTAAAGTTTGGTGCCCATTGTACGTTATGTGAGCAAAATGCAAAAGTGTGCTGATGTCGTGTCGAGTTGTTATCAAATGTGGAAGTGAATGATGAAAAAAAATCTTTTCTATGTTACATTTTTTTAATGTTTTATATGGCACAAAAAGATTTTTCAATGCAGACGTAAGGAAATTCTTTTTTCTTCTAAAAAAATTTATCAATTAGTTTGAAGCTTCCATTTCCGAGAGACTGACCGCTTTGCCGAATGAATGAATACGTACTGCTGAACTCTCTTGATTGGTTGGCGGCTTGTGCCACCTAGCCAGTGTTTCTAGTATCAACAGTTGACCCCTATCTTGTACACAAAGCATTAGGGTGAAGTGTTTTAATAGTAATACTTACGAAAACTGCGGTCCATGCGACGGAAGCGCCTCTTTACGACCGCATGGTTCTTCATTGGTGCCATCCCTTCTCTGTTGTCTGCTCTGCAGGGCGTGAACGAGCCAAACTTCAGGTATAGCGGGGCACGGCTCTGCAACCACCTGGGGAACAATCTGCACATCAAGAACCTCGAAGATGACACCTTCACGAACCTGCTGCTGGACCGGTGGGCATTCTAGCGCAGCTTAGTGGATCGGTTGGGTGGAAACGTTGTACTAACATAGACTCGGGCTCCAACTGAGCGTGTAAATTAATTAATTCAAACCCGATTATTCGGATAATTGTGCTAATTTATTGGCCACAAGAAAAAATAAAAAGTGGTAAAGTTGGTGCATTTTGAAACGTAATTGCATTCATGATATTATAATAACAAAACATTTATCTTGTACCCCCGAACAACCTTATGTTCTCAGCAGTCATAAAAAAATATATTTAAATATTAACACCACCTTGTACAGCCCTGTTCAGAGCAAAATCAGATTTTTATCAGAAAAAAATTATTGCTATATCAGGACCTTCAGTATATCATTGCTTCAAATGCCTCTGCCAGTTTCACAAGCATAACTGTGTTTTTAACACAGAATGTGCTTTATGAGTCGTTTTCTATGAAAAAATTGTCATGAACGGGCGTCGTGAACAAGCGTCATGAGTGAGCACCATGAACGATCATTCGCATAAATGAGTGCCATGAACGAGTGGCACATTGGGGCTTTACACAACATCAAGGATGTATATACAGGGGTGGAACGGCTGCGCCATTTGCGCCAGACGCATGTGTCTGCGCCGTCCTGCGCCATGTTGCAGAAACTGCGCCACAGCCAATACCTCGCGCCATTATGCGCCAAATCGCAAAACGTGCGCCAAAAAACTTTTTATTTCGTCTTAGTTTTGGTTTCTATCGACTCGATTGGCAACAATGAGGGTGTTTAGCCTGGTCGGCCTTGTAATCCTTTGTTTTGTTTATTCTCCCTGTCTATCCCGAGTCGGAAGCGCGCGAAAAAAACTCGGATTCTAAGCGCTACACCACCTGCGACTGGATTGTTATTCTTCAACCATAAGCGGTAGGGCAAGTCGGCCGAGGTGAGGTCGAGTCGTTAAGCATCAGATTGCATGAGGCTCTGCGGCCCGGAATCCGGACGTCATCCAGTCGAAAGCAAATGAGCAAAAGATTCCTTTTGGTACTTCATCCTTAGGAGTTGGAACCGCATTCTCGCAAGATAAATCGTGATTCGATAGAACTGAAACGCGGTCCGATCCGAAACCTTGCCGGCCAGCAGCTCTACTTATCTGCTCGGCGTACTTTAACCTTGCTCCTGCTTATCGCTTCAAATACGATAACTTCGTTAATCGTAGCCTGCTGCTTCGATATCGAGTTGCACAATAGGATAAACTCGAAATTTGTTGCCCTGCTCCTCCGTGCGACTGCATGTCCATTGTTTACGCTCGTCACGTGGTTCGCACATATAATTACTATGTCAATCACGTGCGGGTTGTGCGATAAGTAGTGCTGGTTTGCATTTTGAGCAGCCGAAAGCCACTAAGAAAATATTAAGGACGCTATCTTCAGAAACATCAGGTACTACTAGCTTTTTGATTCTCATTAAGGCTCGCAAAATTTCAAGTTTTCGCATCTATTACACTGTTATCCCATCTGCCTGGGTCCCTAACCACTCATGTTTATCTGTGCTGCTAAGCACAATTGAAATTGCTCCAGTGCTTGTCTAAGACACAAGCTGAAGTGCGATGCAAACTGATCTGAGCTGCTCCTAGCCTGCTCCAGAATGTAGTTTTAGCTGCTCCCAACCTGCTCCAAAACAGCTGTTTCAGCTGCTCCCGTGGCTGCTCCCAAGTACATTTCATGAGTTCCACCCCTGATATAAAGTTTATATATACCTGGGTCGGTGTGATGGCAGTCTGATACTATAGCAACTGAGCGCCTAGCACAGCTACCCTGGAAGCACTGCACTCCCAGCAAAACGTGCCAGCGAGAGCGGCGTGATGTTGTACCCCGCGACCGCTCGCCTCATGGACGTCGCACATGGCTTAAAGAACAAGTGGATTTTTTTTGTTGTTGTTTTTTTTGCTTACAATGTTTACACTATTTACACGGAAGGAGACTGAGGAGTGATCGACTCCTCAGGTCAATTTTTTAAGCTGTGGCTTTACGTGTGATCCCTCCACAGACCTTGCTTGCTCGTGTCGGTTGCGCTGTGGCAAGGCAGTGGGAGAGAGTGTCAGCGACGGAGTGCAGCTGTTAGTTTGACATCGCAGCATACGCTAGCAATGGCGTTGCACGAAGTGGTGGTAAGTGGTACGCTAACACTCCACCCCTCGCTGCATAGGAATGGGCTGCTTAGTAGGGCGGAACCTGCGCATTAGTATAACAATCTAGTAAGTGGGGAAACATTTCAGTCGGGTTGTATGCCCGGCAGTACGTACGTCATGCTGTTCAATATAATGTTCCAGCAAAGTGCCCACATAAGGAAATAAAGTCCTTTTCATAGGGTGTCCCGAGAACACCTTCCGCTGTAAAATGAGCCGGAAACGTCGGTGCCTGTATGTAGAAAGCTTCATTGAATGTGCACTGAGCAGGTCAGTTTTATTGCGCAAAGTTTCAAGGCGCAGTTCTCTCGTGAAAAACGAGAGCAAAAAACTTGCCAGAGGTTGGGCGCGTTTTGCAGGCGACCGAGTTTGTGATGCTATTTACTTGGGGCACTATATTTCCCGATATGCGGAGTGAGCAGATGACTCTCCCTTGTCTGCTCGCTGAGCCTATCGGGAGATGGCACCACAAGTAAACATTGTCGCAAACTGGGTCGTCTGCAGACACACCCAACCTTGGCTTTGGCAAGATTTTTGCTCTCATTTGTTAGTGTAAGAAAACTATGCCTTGAAATTCAACTCTGTAAAACTAACCTGCTCTGTGCACATTCGGTGAAAGTTTGAGCTTTCTATCTGCAGGCGCTGACTTCTCTGGCCCGTTTCACGGCGGAAGGTCGGCCCGGGTCAAACATTCACGATTACTTCGCCACGTGCGCATTGCATGCCATTCCAATAGAACGTGCAGCTTGCTATAAAAACCACGTCAAGTGCTGTCGCACCTTTGTTTAGTTTGACAAAACATCTAAACCGAGCAATTTTTAAAAATTTTTTTTTCCTCCGTTTATTTTGTGCTTGGTTTGAGACCACCGAAAGTGATCCCGAAGTGGCAACAGACAGCGTCGCAAAAGCCGGATTGTCATGGTGCCGGATGTTGGCGGTCAGTCATAGAAGTTCTAAAGAGAAAGTGCGAGAGAATGCGAGCGTCGGATCGTGGCTGGTGACAGCATGACACTTTGGTGATGTCGTCGGGCAGAAATCGAGGGACCGCTCCTTAGGTCGCGATAAACACACCTGTGAAAGACACGTTCTATGCACCATAGTAGGAGGAGCGAAGACCGGAGCCGAATTAAGTCGTAGCGTTCAAGTCCTCACGCGTCGCTTCTCTCCCCAGGTGTCACGTGGAGTGCCTCAGACGCAGCGACCTCGCAGCTGGAGATTTCGGCGGCCCTTACCTGCGGGGACTGCTGCTGTTCATCGCTGAGCTCTTCTCACAGATGGTGGTTAGTTCGTTTTCTGTTTTTCCTGGACCGGTCCGGTCTAGTCTTTGCTAAAGGGACTGCGAAGTGTCCCCCTTCAGCCGCGGCATAAGTTACTCTTTAGGTGGGGATGCGCGGCACGGTGAATGCCGCGATGCAATCGACTGGATGAAGTCCTGTCGGCGCAAGCCTGAGCGGCCCGTGCCAACGACGTCTGCACCAACTGGGCGGCGCAACTGAAGAAGAAAGAACAAAGGAACGAAAACAAAAAGATCATGAGCCATTCCACTCTGCGAAGGTGGATGACAAGCGAAGCTGTTTAGCATACGACACAGAACCACCCCGAGGAGCCAGCGGAAAGTAGACACCCGCGACGGGACCACCACCCTGGGGGAGCTGAAGGAAAGGAAACTAGGCACGCAAGCTCTTGGAACGACCACAAAGAGAGGGCGGTGCGAACGTAGACATGGCCGATGCGTGTCTCACAGCGGCAAATCTTTGAGGAACCTTTATTATATACCTGAGAGTCTGCTGATCTTGAAAATGGTGCCTGTTGATAACTAATCTACTGAATAGACTTACTGCTAAATTACCCAAGCATCAAGGAAAATGCAGGGAACGGTGTTCCACGCTTCACTTGTGCCGGCATCTGCAGCAGTAAAGATTCTAAAGCAAAAGCCGAAAACAAATGGTATCTTGCACGCGCATTCGTTAACGCTTTATTTTGGTTATTCAGTTTGAATCTTATACAGAGAAGGCTTGCCTGTGCGGCGGTGCTAGCATAGTGTTTAGTCGCTGCACATGAAAAATCCGCAGAACCCTAGCCATAAACAGCTTCGCTGTAAAAAAAAGTGTCTCGTTACCACATCGCCCAGGCACATCTGCTTTCCGCTCGGCATGTCTGCTCCAACCTTGACGGATGTTGGCTCGAACACCGCACTGCAGATCTCTCCGTCTCGATGCATTCATAAAACTGTTCTTGTGGCCATTGAAGCACGAAACTAAAGTCAATGATGAAGCTGTGTCCAACTAACGCGCGTAGCACGAGTGCCAAGTTCTATACGTCTTCTGGGCATACCCAGAAGACGTCTTTAAAAACATGCATGTCTCCCATAGAGAAGCCGGGCCCGCGACGGGCTGCCACTAGCCAATTATCGAAGGGTCATCTGGTGGCACCGCCTGCAACCAAGGCTAGGAGAGGACTTTATCTGGCAGCTGTGATGCATGCGGTGTCCACATCTATATACGGTGCAATCCACTTATAACGACAACGAGAATCCCAAAATTTCAATCGTTATAACCGCCTATCGTTGTATCTGAACTAGAAACTAAGCATTTCCAGTTTAGAAACTCTAGAAACTGATAGTTATAGATGGTAGCATTATAAGTAGATCGCAGTGTGTATCTTACACCCTGCCTCTGATGTATCCTGGGAGTGCAAAGCGCAGTGAAGGCGCTACAGGTGAGGGCATTGCAAACTTCTGTCGAATCTGGGGTTAGACCAGTTCAGCGAACATTTGAACAGGAAAAAAAAGATTGATGCCGTATTAATCACTCCCAGGAGGCTCAAGGTGTGTGGCGTTTCGGATAATAATGTCTTCAAGTCGTTTTGTGTAGTTGGATTTTTAATTTGTGAAAATTGACTGAAGCAGCTTTTCATCCCCGAAAATAAATCGAGAGGCTAAGGCGTGTTTTTATGGTGATATCTGTTATGGGTTCTTCCCACCACTGGAAATTATATCTGTTGTTGGTGTTGTAGTTATAGTCTTCACTGACGTTTTCCTCGGTGATGTAAGGCGTCCGTCGTCAACGTTGCCAAATCCTCGAAAAAGATTGCCCGCCACCCGCGGCAATCGAACCTGGGTCAGCTGCGAGCGGAATGTAGGCGATACAACTGAGCTACACCGCAGTGTTAATAACCCACTCTATACTTGGGGTTTTTGTAGTACCCAATACCCACTGCTTGCACTCCAAAAAAAAAAAATAGCCAACAACAAAGTGTTGTCGTAGCACTGGCAATGCCAAGATCTTGTGTGGGAGATGTGCTTTCACACGCTCTGGAATAAAAAAAGAAACAAAAGCATTTGGAACAAAATGGTCAGATGTCTGTTTTGTTCCAAACGCGTTTTGTTCACTTACCCCACGGTGCGCGAACGCGCCGCTGATGCCTAGCCACATCGCCGTGATTGTACTGTGGATTAATGCGGGACTGCTCGATTTTTTCCCCTCTACCCAACAGTTCTCCAGAGAGGACAGTTCGTACAAGGTGAAGCACGTGGCAGCCTGCATTCCGGACATGATGCACACACTTCTGCAGGCCATGAGCAAAGATAACATCAAATGCACCATCCAAGTGCTCAAGGTGAGGTTCGCCGACGCGACGGCCAAGCACGAACCCTTCGGGCTTCTTGTGCCGAGCGCGGTGCGAGGTGGAAACATGCGAGCTTTGAAAGTACGAAGGGCCGGTCCTGCGCTGGAGCGTGCTGGACGCCCTTAGTAGTCAGTTTGGAGCGTAAAGCCCCCAATTTTGATTTTATCTCGGAGGAAATATCGCTGCGTCGGTGCTAAGTTGCGTTAGTGCTCCATCAGCGCTGTTTCTAGTGCTGATTTAGAACATAGTTGTGTGTGTGAATCGGCCTAAAAAGTTCAGTTTCTGGGAGAAATATATGCCCTTTTTTTGTTTTCTTTTTGAGCGTCATCATTAGGTGCACCGCACTACCTTACCCTACAGTCTCTGGATAAGTGTCCGCAATATTGCATTCCTTTTCATTCCGCCGACAATCTTTGTGTTTTGTTCTGGTTGGCAGTGCGGTCCCCATTTTGGATCCCAGAAATCCGAGCCCATTCTGAAATAGCCACATTTAAATTGCTGTGACGTGTCGTTGTACTGAAAAAGCTTATGTAGGCGTTTTTGGACCTGTATATGCAATCAACTGCTCAACCTTTCTTATTGGCATCAATCTCCCGGAAGGAAGTGATCTTTGATTCCTTCGTCTTGGCTCAAAGGAGACTCCTGTGCAACCATCACCGCGACAATTTAGCGCTGCAAGTGGTGCCATCTAATTGAGGTGGTGTGAACCTGCACGTTCATTGGCCTGGCTGTTTTTAATGCGTAGGAGCTCATGGTCGCAGAAAATCCGGTGTCGGTGGGACGAAGAAACCTCATCACGCAAAATGTGCAGCCACGTGTGACGTCCTGCATCACGTGACATGATGTCATGTGACGACACGTGACGCTACAATTTAGACCACACGCTTGCACGGCTTGCGAACGAGCACGGGTTTACATGACAAGGCTTTGCGACCAGGACCCGATAACGATCTTGCATTTCACTCTTAAAGGCAAAGCTTAAGCGTCCCCTAAGTTTTTAATTTGAAAAAGCATTGTTTTGTTTAAGATAAAAGGAAAAAGCATATTTGTAGCCTTGTTGTTAGAGATCAATAAAGAATGATTGGGGCTTGGGTACATTGACCTGTTGCAGGCATAAGAAAATGTCGGTATGCGAGAAATTGGTTCTTATGGAACAACCTGTCACCATAAATTTAGATTGTCTCACTCAGAACGTGGTGGCCAAAAACAAACTCCTCTGGGCAAATAGACCCAAAATGGTGGTGCGCTGCGCAAAAAAGCGAGTTTCAGTACACTGAAACCCATCTAGTGACTTTGCCCTGCCCTTTTGGATTCCGAAGAGTTATACGCTTGGGTGAAACAAATTCCTAAAAAGAGAAGGTTCAGCTCTGAGGGTTGTGAAACCCAGTCAGCATGCCTTGTGGGTGGACATGACACTGACCTTGCGTTTGTTTGTCTCCTTGTTCCCCGGCTTCGGATTGTCTCGACTCAACCTGGCAGCTGACCGGTGGCAACCTGGAAGACCTCGAAAAGGCCGGGACCCCCGGCGGGGAGACGCCAAACATGGACAGCCTGTTCAGCAAGTTGAGCGAGTTGGCCCAGAGAAGCGACATTGACGCGTAAGAACCCTCTTCCCAGCTTCAACCTTGTTCTTTATTACGCATCTTTATTGGCTTCAGAAGGATGTATTAGCCGTACCCCCCATATAAACGTTTTTTTTTTTACGAAGAAGTTGGAATTTAAGTTCCACACAGTGACGGAGTGTTGCAAATGACGACACACACGTATGTCTCCCCGCTTTAAACCGTCTTTGGAACGCCAGAAGAGCAGGCCGTCAGCGGGTGGCCTACCTTTCCTCTTTCATTGTAAATGTCAATACGGCCCACATCTTGCACAGTTAAGGTCCATACTTACAAAAATAATGTATATGAGCCGCGCCGTCGTATAAGACACTAACTGGGATTTCGAAGGAGAGAAGTGTTACTTATACACAGGAAAGTATGCTATTGCCCAAGGGGTGAAACAGTTAGGTTGTAAGCGGGATGCAGTCTCTCCAGTTTTGAAGCTATCGGGAAGGTACTGGGTCCTGAATGTTTTATGAGATGTAGACCGGAGAAAACACGGCGCAAAAGACGGGCTGGTGGATGGAGACGAGAGGGCGTGTGCTTGTCCTGTCGTCTCTTTCCACTAGCCTTTGTCCTTTGTGCTGTGCTTTGTCATGTGGGACCAACTAACCCACAAGTTTGTTTTAATTCAGTATGGAATGCGCTTCAGTTTCCGCGTAAGGAAAACAGTTTTGAGCACCTGCTCTTCTGTAGGTTTTCTTATCTCCCATTGTGTTGAGAGAAGCAAAGTAGTCTAGCCCTGTCTCAAACCAGCCAGCGATATGGGGATTTGGACAACGGGCATTGGGAGTACGGTGAAACGCCTGTCTTTGGCCTTCAGGTGCATCTGCTAGGCCCGTCCGATTTGGAAAATAGTCGGCTTACGATTTCAAGATTTCCTAGGAGAAACGAAGGTTCGGGTTACAAACCGTTAGTTTTTCAGGAGCTCGCGTCGAGACCCACTCTTTTTTATGAGTCATTATTACGTGGTTTCTTTTTAAAAAAAAAAAGAAACTAGCAACATGAAGTTGGTGAAAATGCTCGCACCACTCGTAGCTCCAGCAGTGAGTAAATCACTAGAAAAACTCTAAACATCTGTGGTAGAATTGAAAAGAAAAAAAATACTAGGAACAAGGTGTATCAAGTGGACAGCTTTTTACCATGCCGTGATTACAAACAAACGCTAAGAGCTAGGGAAACAGGTAGGTTGTTTTTAGAAAAAGCAAACAAATGTGAACGACTCCTTTTTCTTTTCGTTAAGATTTGTCATATGGGTTAGATTCATGTTGCTGCGAGCGAGAATACTCTGCTGTGGGTCGGAGACCAACAGGTGGTCTAGACCAGAAGCCTCCAAACGTTTTTGGCTAAGGGGCCGGATCGGGGATCTGTCGCAGTTCTCAGGGCTAGAAAATGAACAATATGAACGAGGAAATACTAAATGAGGAAACATAAATAAGCTTCTAAATGTAATGTAAAATGGACGAATACTTATACATTATTTTTTGAATTCTGCATGTTGCTGCTTAGGACATTACAAAATAGTTGTGAACCAGGAAACTCGTCAGGCATAAATCAGTGCATAGAAATGCTGGTATGTTTGCACAGGGCAGAAAACTACTAATGAGAGGGGTAGGCCTGATGGCGACCACAGGCTGTACTCTAAGCTCGGCATAAGAGAGAATGCAATCAGTTTGTGCAGTCATACGGACGTGGAACAGGAATGTGAATAGTGATGCTGGTGATGACAATGTGGCAAGGGAACCCGTGTTTCGATGCAATTTTCCTTCGTTCTTATTGACATCTTCGTTCGCGTTTTCGGTGCGTGTCTCGGCGCTATATTCTTACACGCGCTTATTTCTGCGTCGGTAGCAGTAGGCCACGGGCCGAGAATCACTGCAAAGACTGCGGCTATCCGCGGGCCAGGGTTTCGAGACCCTCAATCTAGACTGATTCTATTGTTGGCAATGGCTGCTGCAATGTCTTGTTACAATTTGGGTGTAATGCATTTGTCTCACCTTTCATTTCAATCCAACTTGCAGGACGTCAGAGAGAATGATAAAAAACGTGCTTGACCTCCGTGAAAAAAACTGGGGGCGAACGTCCACACCCTCCGACTCTCCCGCCAGCTCGGCGGCAGAAGACGTGAGTTTCAAACAATTCGCCTTTTTTGTTGTTGTTCCTCTCTTCGGTGTGCAAAACAAAACCTTCTCTCGCTATAACTTTGAGGGAAAAGAAAAAAAAAAGGCCCCAATATCAAAAGTGTTTATTCTTCACTGTTCTTGCAGAAGTTCATCTGTTAAAAATCTACCATCGCCACCACAACCATCCTCTTTTTTCCTCATCGCTCTGCCTACTTCCCATCTTTCCTCCTTTGTTTTTCCTCTTCTTCGAAAACAAACTCGAGGAATAAGTACACCTACCATGACCATTTGTTCTCCTACCGAGTCCGAGCTTGCGACTTGGGTGTGTCCAAGGTGAAAGTCACGGCCCCTTTTGTCCCCCCTTCCCCCTCGCTCGTCCCCGCTGCAGAGCTTGCCGATCTTGTGCGGTCCCGACGGCATTCCCCTGTCCAGAGAGGAGGAGGTGTTCCTCGAAAGACAGTTTGCAAATTTCCACTGCAACGAGTGAGTACCTTTTTGCCAGCTTCCTTCGTCGCCCTCTTTGCTTCTGTTCGGATTCATGTTGAACACTGTTGGACGCTATTACTGTCGAGACCGGTTATAACAAAGTCAATGGGAATTGGAAATCACTTCGCTATATCCGCTATTTCGTTATAACCGACTTCGGTTAACGAAGTGCAAAAGGGAATGGGAAATCGTGATTGCTTCACTGTAGCCGCTATTTTGCTATAGCCAATGTCGACAGTAGTACGAAGATGACTTTTTTCATTTTGTTTTTGAAGGGTGTACGGCATGCAAGTTTGTCTGCTGCTTGTACACCTCGTGCATTTGTTTACCCGCAGAATGCGTTCACACATTGGGGTTTTTTTTTGTTTTTTTTTTCTCCATTTTGACCAATGAAGGTGCACACTTGGCTGCTTGGTCATCACGCGTTCCTTGCGCGTTCTTCATGTTGTCTTTGATTGGCGTGCGACTCCTTGTGTTTCAGTCCATCAAAGACTCATTTTGGAACACTTGCCGTATTTGCGGCGCGATCCCTTCTCAAATGCGAAAGGATCGCGCCGCAGCGCGCAGTTGTCAGGCGCCGCAGCGTTGCATATGCCTCACCTTCGCAAACATTCGGACAAATGGTTCGCGGCGACAAAATGGCGTGCTGTATTTTGGTCAAGCAAGCGGAACTCGAAGGCATACGCTGCAGTGCGAGTCAACGGAGCGAGCACAGGTGGCCAAATCACAGCACACTTGGCTCTCGTGTCGTGATTGTTTATTTAGAGCTCTGCCTACCCCTATGACATGTGCGTGGGTGTTCATAAACGGCTCCTCTTGACCGCACGCGGGTCAAATGAACCAAAATGAACAGCTAACAGCGCGATAGGAATCGGTAGCAACGGTAGTACTCAACTGAAAAACGACGCGCGAAGTGGCGTGTTGTCCGTCGGCACTCCCATCGAAAAAGGCAAAATAAAGACACAAATACTATATATATACAAGAAATTTCATGTGCAGAAAAGAATAGAAACACTTATGGTGAATTCCACTCGTAGATCCGGGGCGCTTTCCAAAATCCGCGAGGGAGGCAAAATTCCGCTACGTGGGACCCGCTCCGAATCGACGAGGGGAAGATAAACTTGCATTTTTGGAGCGACCTCCCCCACACCTTTCCCCACCGCTTTTCCCGCCGCCGTTCAAAATGGCCGCTGCTCGAACTTGACATGCCCACCAACGCCTCAGCCGACTGATCTTTCCGACGACCAGTGACAACTGTCACTGCTTAGTTGCAGAAATAACACGCGACACAGGCCGGGCGAAATTATACGTACCACGGCGCCCATGTCACAAATCACGAATACGTCCGCGTTCGGCATTGTCACATACCTTTCGGCCGCCTCAAAGCGGCGGGGCACGGACAGCGATTGCCAGCGGTGGAGTTTAGATTTCTGGTCTGACTTTAATAAACGCAGAGGTAACAAACCATCACTTGCACGGTCGTTGCCTAATCTCTTCTTGCTTTATTTCACGGGAAAACGCCGGCGGAATGCAGTGTAAAAAGGTAAACAATCATTGGCTGCAGAATGAACAGGCCTAACCTTGCGTCTGCCTCCGGTTTTTCTGTCGTTCTTCCTCTCACGATCACAGATGTCAGCGCTTACGATTTACCACGCTCCACAGTCCCGGCTTTCTATCCCTGATCTACGCGAGGTAGAAGCGTTCGAGCCGTTACAATCCCGCATAAACAACCGACGCACCCGCACAGATCCAACTCGACGGCCCGACAGGCCCGCTGACCTCTCCAACCTCGCCGCGCGGCATCGCACTGCCGATTTAGACTGAAATCACGTGGGCCGCTCTGCCAACTTCCGGAGAGATCTGTGAAATCCCGCAGAGCATGTTCGGTGGGGTTCGATGCGCTCCATGGAGCGGGCGCTGCCAGAGATCTGCGAGCGGAATATGCGCGCCCCAAATGGAGCGCTTTTGGAGCGCTCAAGATCCTCAAGGGGAATTTATCATTAGAAGCAATAAAAAATACACTGGAATAGATAAAAATAGGTAACGGAATCGAAAAACAGAGGATTAAGAGGAGACAAGCGACAATGCAATGCGATCTGAAGGCAGAGCGGCCAGGCGAGGGACAATCTCTCCCACTGTTCCTCGCGCACGGGCCAGGGTGCTTGGGAAAATAGCAAGTCATCTATTGCAAGCCAGACACGCTGCCAGCTAGGTCATGCAGACACTTTTTTTTTCTTCTTTTCTTTATTACTAGGCTGCAAAGACACGTTTGCTTGGCTTAAGAATGAGCGGGGTTTTTTATGTTTAGCTATTGCGTTCTGCTCTTAATGGCGAAGCTTAAGCATCTTGTAATTTTAGCAGATCTGGGCCTCCCTATATGTGTAAATGAGCCAAACACTTCCTAATACATGCATTATAGGTTAAGTGGTCTGTAGGCTTCTACAGGGTGTCACAAAAAAAAAAAGTTTACAGGGTTTTTTTTCACCGCAAAAATAAACTAGGCACCGCTGAGCGCTCATTCTCACTCAGCCTAGAGGCTGCACTAGAGGTCACAACCAGATGCCAAAATTTCAGCCTTATTCAAAAGTTATAAGTGATTTTCTGAAAATTTCAATAGGAAAATGGAACCCATTTTTGCTCGTTTTCGGTTTCTGGTGCCAAAGAGCCCCGTGTATTTGAAAACTCCGTCGGCCGCTATTTTCCCATCAAACTTTTCAGAAAATCACTTATAACTTTTAATTAAGGTATTGGATCGGGCTGAAACTTGGGCATCTGGTTGTGACCCCTAGCGCTACCTTTGGGCAGAGAATGAGCGTTCGGCGATGCCTAGTTTATTTTTGCGGTAAAAAAAACCCTGTAAATTTTTTTTTTGTGACACTCTAGATTGCTTAATTTCACCAGTGCCGAGTCTGGGAAGGGATCCTAGGCATCGAGAGAAACTGACATTCCTCAAGATCTGAAAGTTTGATTGATTGATTGATTGATTGATTGATTGATGGCTGAGGGAACCGATTTGTCTTTTCATTTGTGCAGTCAAGTAGACCAGAAGCCTACGGGCCTCGTCAATGAGAACATTCACTATAGGGAAGTGCTTGGTACGTAGCTAAGCATCAGCTTGGATATTCTACAATTGTGCCTGAACTAGCGGGACACTTTGCTCAGGGGTGAGGATGGCACGGGAAGTTTTGAGAGCTGGGGATACCTCGAGTTCCCACGAGAGTGCGCCTTGGGCCATATTGAGGCTGGATGGGTAAGCGCATCATAAACCAAGCCATAAGGCAGAGCAAACTTTTGCGGGGTAGGGGCAGGTCTTGTGTTGGCTTGTCTGGGATACACTCATTGGTGGTCAAACAGAAGACGTGCCATGGAGCCTCAAAGATGGCAAAATAAGGAGGTACAGAAACGCTCTGCTGCAACTCGGTCCATTTTGGTGTTGTGTCCGTCATTGGAAAGTTGCAGCGACACCCATGCAGTGTTGTCTCGGTAATGTGGACACATTCATTCCCCAAAAAATTAGTCCATAATAATGAGACCGAAATCCATAAATTTTTATCCCTGTCGTTCCCAAAAATTTTTGTCTGCATAGCGGCGTGTCTATATTAACAATGTCCATATTAGTGAGATATAAGTGTATGACATGACCTTGTGGCTTGAAGATAAGCGGCCAGCAGCTCTCTGCCTGGTTATGTGGAAACATTGCATAGCGAATAGTATACAAAACACTAGCCCAATTCTTTACTAGATGACACTGGCATTTTGGGATGTGCTCATTTTCCTGGTCAGGGGCGATTTTAATTTTTTTCCTTGTCGTGTAAAAAACTAGTGTCATCTTGGATTTCTAATGCCATCCTCTAGTATTCATAATCTCTTAAATCATCCTTTTTTTTTTTTACTTTTTGTTTTTAGGTGTTACTTTCCAACAATTAGATGCACTCCAATTTTCAAACTTCAGCCCAATTGACAGGAGTCAATCATTGAATAAAACTTGAATGCTATAGAAGGTCTCTGTAGAATAAGAAAAATATGGATACAGAGAACAAGAGTTGAAGTATGCTGGTATGGCCTTAGAGGTACTACTGATACAGTAAAGGTACTAATAAAGCAAATTAAAAGAAAATGTATATACTTAAAGGAGTAAATTGTTTGAAAGCATTTGCAACTAATAATTAGTTTTAAATGTTTCTGGGCAAATGCTGAAGTGGTATTATTTGTTTCTAGGATGGTGTGATCGATTGCCAGCGTGGGTGGTCTACACTGGTTGTTTTGCACCACAAATAAATTAACTATGCGTCACTTCCTTAACGTAACCCTGGTGGTTGGTATGAGATGCCAGTCTCCTAACTCGTCATGATCTAATTTAATATTTAGAAGCAATTTTCGAAAAATATTTAATGGGGGAATGACACTTGTTATTGGAAGTAGATGGCATGTGCTTGCATGAGTTCATAGATTCTCCTCGTGCTTTTGTATGAATTCATAATTAATACTGTAACTTTGGCGTCTTATTCCAACAGCTAGACTTAAGGCCCATTCACACACTTGAAACCGGGTAGGACCGACGGATACAGAACCGGCATTTAAGCCTCTTGCGACAGCTTAGGACTGGATGCACTGCTGCGGAGCAGGTCCTAAGCCATCAGAAGAAGCTTAAAAACCAGCCTTGTCTCTGCCGGTCTTACTCAATCGCAAGTGTGTGAACGGGACTTCCCAGTTAGGTTCTTATTCCATGCTCTATGCTTTTGCACTGTGTGAAAAGAGGGTTCACACTTTTCGTTAGTGCCTATGTACACAGTGTGACACTGTTAGGGCAAACACAACATTTTAGCCCTTAGCTTAGTGCCCCAAGTGAGCACTTTTTACCACACCGGTAGTTCTAATGACAACCCCCAATACCAAGAGAAAAAAAAAACTGGCTATTGCTTTGTTGCATTAACAGTATTGCGCAGTGTATCTCTCCTTTCTTGGTGGCAGTGGTTGCTGGATGTGTTGACTCGAGATTTGTGAGCTTACCTAACTGACGGACATCTCCGTGCATGCCTCCTTTCCAGTGGCGACTACTCCAACAACTTCGACAACGAGGAAATGGACGACGAGATTGCAGCGGCCTACGAGGAGTTCCTGTTGCAGTCGGGCCAGTGACGTGTCATGGGGGGATTGGGGCCGCGAATGCGTTGCATTGTCCAACATTTTAAGAACAATGCCATTCACACACATACACACACCTTTTGTAAGTAGGCAGGGACTATTTTTGTTAATTCTGTCTCTATTACGTTCAGGCCATTGAGTTGAGGACAGCGAACTTGTACATTTCAACGCACAAAGTGCTCTTGGGGCGTCTTGTCGGATGGAAATAAAACCTTTTGCAGCGAAGGGCTTGTGCAGAGCATTCCTCAAACGTCTCATGGTGTAGACCAGTGATTCTTAACCATTGATGTTTTGTAGACCCCTTATGGGTCGGCGGAGATGATGGAGGACCCCGTTCGTGGTGAGAGGAAGGGAAATGTATAGGTTAATTATGATAATGATCTCATAAGGTGATATAACTAAGGGCTAGTGTGAAATAGACTTCTCTCATTGACATACACACAAAAAAGACTCGTATGAATATTAGAACTTTTGTTCTCAATCTGAAAAAAAAAAAACTTTTATTGCTGGGTTTGACTGATACGGCAAGGCTTCACGAACCCCTAAAATGCCTTTGCGGACCCCCATTTGAGAACCACTGGTGTAGACCATTCCACCATTTTGTTTGCAGCGCCATCTACGGACATCCAGGCATTTCGACAGGATCGTCGAGGTAAAAGAGGGAAAGGGCTTGTGCCGTTCTCATCGTTGGGGCAGTTCCAGTGTGCAGTACCACCGGAACTGCCCAAACATGGAGGCTCATTTCCCTCTCCTCACCTGAGCAGAAGGGTCTATAGACCATTTCAATAGCCTTTTCATGCTGCCGTCTTCATCCACTGGGCTGTGGAACGCGCTTCGAGCATAGTGCTGTTGCTCTCTTCTGCGGAACATCAGGTGCTGTGCATGCATCCACAGCTTAGTGACTTGGCATTTTTCACCTGGGTGATATGGGCGGGTAAGGTGGTGCATACACCATTCACTCCTAAGCTGGCAGTGCAGTGGAAGATGTGCGCTCGTTAGACCAGCGATCTGTCGTACCTCCACCAAATGATAATGCTGCCCTCCACACCCACATGCAGGGGGTGGGGCCAGGTGATGAAAGTAAAGTGACCGATTGGTCCAGTAAGAGCGTAGCTGCCACACTGCACTGTCAGTTTAGAGATAAATGGAGTATATCGGTGTCGGTTACTTTTTTTTGCAAGCATTGCAGGCAATTTAGGCGAAGGTGTCTCGAAATAGTGTCCCCATTTGGTTTGTCTGGAAGTCTAGGCCAGGTTAACAGAGTCACTGGGGCTAACGTGGTTGGTGCTGCCAATGTATCCTATTGCTTTCTTTTAATTTTCCCAGCTTCTATAGGAGCTAGACGCTTGTAGTGAGCTGTTTTCTGCCAGCAGGATCATTCGGCAGCTACAGATTAAATCTACCAGCAGGATCATTCAGTAGCTACTGATTAAATGCTTTTTTTTTTTTTTTTATCTTTTTAGGCAACTCGCTATCAATAAGCTTGCATGTTTTACGACTACGGGGAGGTGGTAGTCAAGCATACATCAAATAATGCTGCCATCGGCGCGTTTGGTTCGAGGAGTGCTGGTCGTAACGACATTTTGTAGTTTGTTTGGGTACGTTAAAATGGTGAAAGTGATCAAATTTCTTGGCAGAGTACGTGGCACGTCGCACAGTCTTCTGCCAAGCAGACGGCAGTGGTTGTTACCATGCCACGTATTTGTAAACAGCGGGTGGTCTATTGACTTGCGCGAACGTTACGCGTCATTGACCCCACCTTCAAACACGTTATATTTCCTAGAGTTATAAACATTCGCCAACGTGAGTGTAGCGACCGAAATCTACGAGGCAACAGAAGCCTTCGTTTGTAAGCCGAGCCGACCGAGAGCGTGTAGCAGCTCTTTTTCGAAGGGCGCTCGCTGCCTTTGCTTCGCTGGCTGGCGGGCTGGCTAGGCCCGCCGTCGCAAGCAAGCGCCACAGCAGCCAGCCAGCCAGACAGGCACGGACCGAGAGAGAGAGCGCGAAAGCAACGCGAGAAAAGAAGCCAAGCAAACCAACACACAAAAAGCAGCCACGAGCAAGCGGCCAAAATAACAACAGCCAGAACAAAAAGTTAAAAAGAAAAGCAGCAAAGGCGCGCGGCGCGGGCCGGCCCTCCCCCCTGCGCCCCGCAAGATGAATTCGGCCGACTGTGCGCATGCGCAGAGCACGCCAAAGACAGACTTAAAAAGCATCAATATGGCGGCCTGTTCAACGGCAGGTGTGAGAAGTGTCGGCCTGAACTCGGGCATCGCCATGAAGGATTGCTACTCGCAAATTAAAGGAGGAGAAAAAATCTGCAGCGGCGACGCCAACTGCCCCTTCATCAACGGTAACGACGCGGGCCAGGGCGAGGAACGATGGCTGCAGTCCCTCCGACAGTTCCACAACGGGCGGAATCTCCAAATGGTCCACCTTTCGCCGTCAGTCACCGAAAAGGTAAAGCGCCGCGCACGCGCTGCGACTCCCTCGCGATCGAGTTCGAAAACATTTGAGAGACCACGTTGCGGCGGCGACGGCGTCGTCGAGAAAACGCGCTCGGGCAACGCGCGTCGGCGATCGTAAACAAACGCGAGTGGCCGATGTGCCATAGCCGACCGAATCCGCCGTCCACAAAGCAGCGGCAGCAGCAGCGCGCGCTCCGTATTTTCTTTGTGTACCTCCTCTCTCTTCTTTCGTTATCTGGCGGTTTTGTTGGTGTCCGCCAGCCAAAATTCGTCAACGCCGCGTCGTCCAGCGCGCTGATTTTCATGCGCTCGCGACGCCAACGAGGGTCTCTTGAACATGGCATGCGAAACGGGACGCTTGTATTTTTGCTTTAGCTCCGCTTTGCGCGCGATGATTTTTTTTTTTTTTTTTTCTTTGCGTGGAATTTCTTGGGGCGCGCGGCGGCGGAGGGGGAAGGGGGGATGTTGTGGGTGGGCGAGAGAAAATGGAGGAGGGGCGGGCGGTGGCCGATGTATCGATTTTTTTTACCGCATCTCGTGCTAGTATTTTTCCTCTGCAGTGCCTCTGGTTCCCGCTTTATTTTGTTCGATCGGCTGTGTGCGCTTTTATTTGACCCCCCCTCCCTGCAGCCGCTGCGGCAGCGCGCGCATTATTTACAAAATAGAAAAGATACGGACTACTTTCTTTTGTCTTGGCGCCCCCTTCTTTCTTTTTTCTTCACTCTCTGATGATGTGTTCGCCCGCGCGTTGGCCAACTTGGAGCAAAACGAATACTATGGGCTTGGACCAGAGCCATTAAAACCGTTTCCGTGGCTTCTAGTTTTAACCGGGCTTGTTCTTGGAAGCCAGCACTGTGTGGGGTTGGAATAAACTAACTTCCGGGGCATATGATGACGACGGCCGCGGTCAGATGCGAAAACTTCTCTTGACTGTGTTCGTCTGCTTTTTTTTTTTTCTTTTTTTTTTTTCCTCCATATACAGGACATCATTGATTTCTTCCAACAAACGGGCACCCTGGTGAAGAAGGTAGAAATTAACAGAAGGACGCACATAGGTAAATACGATCCACTTTTGTTCGATAGGTGTGTTTTTTCCCGCTGACCCGGTTGTCGTAGAAAGTGCGAGCGCTAGATGCGCTTGCGGAAGCAGAAATGCGTGCGTGGGTGTGCGCGGCGGTGGCAGGGACCTCTTCATTGTTGTGTCAACACGTTCTCGCATTTGGAAAAAAAAAAAAAAAAAGCTGATTTGCGTGTCTGCACGTCGACCGTTGAATCTGTCTAACTTGGTGGTTGTTTTCATGTGATTCACTTGAAATCCGCTGATATGTTAACTCAACTTGTTATTTTTGTTTGTTTAGGGCTTGTCTGTGTTTATTTTGTTCTCAAATAATTCAATACCTTTTTCGATCGCAGCATCCCAACAATCTTGTATAACACGTGTGCATTTTATAAACGTGTCAGTCGCTGGTGATTTTTCTGAGCTTATGTAGAATTGAAGTACAGGTTTATGGTGATTTCTGTTTCTTTTGAATCAACTGTTGAAGCATAGTGGTGCATTAGCAATAATCTGGGATAATGCCATCTTGGATGTCACATTTCTGCTTTTGAAGTGGGGAGGTTCGATAAACTTCTCAAAAGTATCGGTCGCCATTATAGTGATGGGGCGAAACTTCTTCAAAAACAGGTTTCAGATTGTTTTGGAGCGTTGCCGCAGTGGCCAGACTACATTATTTAGCGTTGCAGCTTTTTTTTTAACAAAACAGGTTTATAAACCACATAAAATAATTAATAATTCATATACAACAACTTAATTTAGCAAAATAGGCTTTTTCAGATGAAATCTGAGATACGGAGATATAAAATAACGGAAAACACAACACGATTGCGATTTCACAACTTCCTTAGTCACGTCCTGTGACCAAAGCAGAGTGAGCAAATAGGTGCAATTAATTATCACAAACCTCAATGCTTGTTTTCATCAGATCAATTGCTTGATAACGTGTGTGGCGTTCGTTCCAAGTGCCGGGAACGTTGGGGTTTTCGTTGACACGAGACGGGGCATGTGGAACTTAGTTGGTTGAACTGCGTTTTAGCGAACGAAATCTCACCTCAGACTTTTCGTTGGAACACACTTTAGTGAAATTCATTGCTTACCCGAAGACATTTATTGATCGTGAATCACAGTTAGGCGCCTTTCACACAGAATGCTCCGCTGAAGACCACTGGCAATGTGTTTCCAGAGTGGAAAGGAAATCATTTATCAGTCAACCGTGATTTGTGACCGAAATGTTCAGGAGGCCTACACACTTTACCCAAAGCTCTGAGACTTGGACACGCACAAGCTGCCATAGAGCTTTGCTTTTTGAGCTCCTACCGTCAGTTTGACTGTCACCTCGTGTGCGGAGAATCAATGTAGTTGCAAGCCTCAGCATGGGATAGTAGGGTCTACTAAAATCCCACACACACCGCTAGCGACCTGGTGTGTATTGCTATGACTCGGGAAATGAACCAGAAACTGGTAAAATTTCGGTCTGTATCAAAGTTTACAGACTTTAAACACTCGCACGACACCCGCAAAACCAAACGGAATGCCGCCATGTCGGTTAGATAGGGACGAAACTGCTGAATTTTCGAAACAATTGAATGTTCATGCAAAAAGTTTAGGAATCTTCCGAAACTGAACCTCCGGAGTTTTGCAACATTACTAGTTATCAATGTGCTTTGCACTCAAGTTAAATTGTAGAACAGTTTCAGCACCCTTGGATATGCTGATTAAGCTATGTCAATTGCATCATGCTTATGTTGATTTCTCAATGTCAGTATGAACACTTTCTTATTGTGTCAGTAATTTCAGTAAATTAATTCTCCTGAAAGGTTTATTATGGCCTTGGTGAAAATTTTCCAACAGCATTTGTTTACATCCTGCTCGATTGGGGCAGAGACCACTGATCTGTACTATAGGTGGCTGGATTGTACATGGCTGCTCTCTGAGCCTGGCGCCAGGGTTAAAAAAGTTACTTCAAAAGTGTACCTAAGATACAGTTAGAGTTACTCATGTGAAAAGGTACCTGGTACTCGCTTAAAAATGTACCTAGGTAAAAGTATGGTGGTTACTTCAAAGACACTTTATTAATTTTCCCCAAATTTGGAAGTAAAGCTTTTTATACCAAGGATACACACAAAAACGAGTTTGATAAATGTGCTTTATTGGTGTCAATGCAAGAAATAAGGAAAACCGCATTCACATGAGTCGGTGCTGACGTTGAGGGGCCCAGAAGATGTTGGCCACATGAAGAAACGCATGAGTCGGATGCATTTGCACCTAACCTTCGCGATGACAGGCGAAAAACTTCGAGCTTCTTCTTTTCTTTTTATTTTGTTAGTTGGAAGAAAAATAAGCTTTTTCTTTCGTAACTTTTTCAGTTTTGGTAACTGCAAAATTTGAGTCAGATTTATTGAGTGGAAGCTGTATTATATACGGCGATATTACATTGCTTTACGATTGTAATTATAATTTGTTTTAAGTTATATCTTATATTGTCTTTATGGCAGAAGAGAGCCACCACCAGGACAATATACACTTAATAGAAACTGCACATATCTTTGAAGTTATATTGACCCTTGTATAGCTGTCAGAGAGCTTCAAACACGCAACACAGTCGATTTCGGTTTGAGATGAAGGAAGCAGGTTGCTATTTTCTCTAAATAGTGTTCCGAAGCGATTCAATAAATTGGTGTCACTAAACGGCATCGCTAATCCACCGTTCTCTCAAATGAACACTGCCATTCGCTAAAGTGTCGTTCGATGAAACATCATGGGCGGGGCTTCATTTGCTACGTCGTTCGATCAAGTCTGCCTCCTTGGTCGTACCCAACTCAACGCTAATCACGGCACATGGTATTGCGTTAATACTGCAAGAGAGTTAGTTTCTACCATTTCGACGAAGTGAATAGAATAGTGCCTGTGAAAAGTAACTTAACTAAGTTAAAAGTTACTGGTAAATGTACCTAAGATAGATACAGATACCGAAAAATGAAAGTACTTGGGCTTGTACCTCAGGTACAACAAAAGTACTTAGATTCCGATTTCCAGTCACTTGTACCTAGGTACTTTACAACCCTGCCTGGCGCAGGAGAAGCCACCGGATGTTCAATGCTTGTCCTGGAAGTCTGACGTAGCTGCCGGGCTTCCTAGAGCATTCGGTCAATGCTTTGGATCATGCTTTCTGCTGTCTTGGAGTGGGTTTTGATAATCCCATTTTGAATTAAATATTGATAATAGGGCATTTGAATGTGGGAATTGTGCATGCTTGATCAGCTAGAATCTCAAAATTTTCCTATCCAATGGCTTCCCAGGAGACTTCTCTGGTCTGCATGCACTGTTCCTGCATAAGCAGACTCTCTTGAGATGACAAGAAAATCTAGTGCCTTTAACACTGTTTGAACCAGCACTCGGAAGAGTTGAAAACCCTGTTGAGCGCTCACTTTCGGGACAAGCCTGTTATTTCCTGTCGCTTGATACCTGTTTGCTCACTGCGCTATTCAGCCCTTTAGGGTAGATCAGTGGCAGACAGCTGATAACTTGATTAATTGGATGGCTGTACCCTTTATAACGAGCTGTAGCTTGGCCTAATATAAAAATTAAATAGTGCAAAGGTTAGACAAAGGAGAAGGGACAGAGCATGTACTCAGGACAAGCGCTATTTAATTTTTTATCATGCATATCCAACTTGTCCTTTGTCTAACCTTTGCGCTGTTTAATTTTTATATCATGCATATCCAACTAGCCCATCTCAATATTTTTGTAGCTTGGCCACCTAGCCTAGAAACATTTTTGACATATTTTTGGCTTTTATATATTTTTGTTAAATTGGGCGTAAAAGGTAGGCTGTTTTCATGTCAAAGGAGAGATATGCATTGAATTTTAACCTATGAGTGACTTAAACAAGGCTACCTTACAGTCCACTTTGATTATCACATTCCTTGACCAATTTGTGTTGCGAAATTTTGGATCTGTCATGAATGAATGGCTTCATTTAGTTTCTCAGATCTGTGGTTTGGCACACAGCTGTGGTAGCTATAAGTGAGCAAAAGCAATTTAAGTAGTTAGAGTAATTGTTTGGGACTGCATCAAATCACAGTAGCTAAGGGCAAAACCGTACAGTTGTGGAAGTAAATCGGAATCATTTTTTTAAAGTACCGTAGTTGGGAAACTGGCACAGGGCATTTGTTTACAGCTATTTTGGAAAGCCAGCTTTTTTAAGAAATTGGATAGTTGCCATTGCACACCATGAGGCAGGTTCTCTGGTGTACTTTGGACGGTTTCTTTGGTCGCGTGACTACCCTTTACTAACGAAAGGCTGCCATTACGGATAAAAGGGATCCGATACTCTGCTTCCCTTTGGGAACTTATGGAGCGACTGGAAGGAAGAGAAGGCTGAAAACAGATAGGTACCCATAGCTGGCAAGTGCCCCCAGTTACAACATGAGATCTGCATAAGACTCGCTCTGCCCCCAGATTCCTTGAGAAAAATTCTCTACCCAATAAGAATGCACCGTTTTCTCTGCGTCACAAAATGGGGACATTGCAGACCACTCAGTTCTATTACCAGATACACTTACTATATGTTCTATGGAATTCTCTGATCGACTGTGTTCAGCACTTGCCACTGAGCATCTGCTTGTCATAAGAGGGTCACTCTCCTCACCAGCTGTCTTCTCTGTGGACGGAGCTTTGCTCTTTGTGGGCAGACCTTTTCCTTCAGATGTTATGTAGCAGCTGATTGTAGTTTACTTATTCCACGTTCCTTACAGTCAGTGACAGAGTACAAAGACAGTAGGAGCTCCGCATCCAGCATGCAGTCGTTTCTTTCTGTCGGGATTTTGCTGCATGTGCAACAAAGTGTTATCAAAGGCAGAAAGCTTGCGCTTGAGGCAGAGCAGCTACTGGGTCCTTAACCTGCCGCAGATTATAGTTTTTTTGTTCTCTCATTTAAATTTCTTTTTTTTTCTTTTTGACGAAAGAGATGACTGTAGAGTGCCACCAGGCTAGCTTGCAGCAAAGGATAATTTCTGCTATGTCATTGTCTTCTGTGGTGGTACCGCCCAGCCCGCATGAAAGTGGACAGCTCGTACGAGTTTGACCCGCTGATCCGGCCGTGGAACTTTCCACGGACCCTGCTGGGTACGGACGCCAAGCTGAAGATGGGCAGCAGTGACAGCTTCCTTTGCGTCACAAATCTGCCCACCAACTGGAGCGTCAAGCAGTTCCAAGAGCTGTGCGAGAAGTTCGGGCCTGTTGTGCGCTGCTTCCTCATCTACCATCACGCCACGGGTATGTCCCCCTCCTCCTTTCTTTCTTACTGCCTCCGCCTGTGCCCTTCTTTGCAAAGCCTGGTGATTGACAGATAGATTATTTAGCAGGGCAGGTTGTCTGCTATAATATGAAAAACCTGGGTTGTCTCTCTAGATCTGCTAACCAGACAGATGGGCTATTCAGCAGGGTGGGTCATCTTTTAAAATCAGCTAACCGGACGAACGGGTTATTTAATGATGGACAGGTGAATATTCAGCAGAGTGGGTTGTGCGCTATGGCCTGCGAACCTAAGTCGTCTACTAAGATCTGTTAACCGGACAAATCGGTTAGTTAGCAAGGTGGGTCGTCTGCTACGACCTGCTAACCGGACAGGCGGGTTATTCAGTGACATACAGACGGGTTTATTCAACAGTAGGCAAACAGTTTGTTCAGCGACGGATAGATGGGCTATTCAACGGGGCGGGTCATCTGCTAAGACCTGTTACCGGAATGTCGAGTTATTCAGCAGGGTGGGTCGGGCCTGCTAAAATCTGCTTGCTAGTCAGATGGGTTATTCAGCAACGTCGGTTTTCTCCTACGATCTGAGGCCTGGGTTGTTTACTAAGATTGGTTAACTAGACGTTTGGACAATTCAGCAACAGACAAATAGGTTCTTCAGCAAGACGGTTTGTCTGCTAAGGTATGCAAAGCCTGAAATGTTTGCAGAACTGAGCTGGCTTTCAATACTTGGCCACAAACTTCAGCGGGTTTGGGTTCAAACTTTGTGGGAGTCTTGGGAAATTTGTGAATTAATTTTACCACATTGAATGTTGTGCATCGCCTTGTGCATCGGGAAGACTCTGAAGTAACTCTTCAGTCTGGAGTCTCACACCTGTCCTTAGCATAACCTGGCAAAGGGCAAACACTAGGATCCCCTTAAGGCGGTTAGAGTGACAGAGCAAAACATCTGACAGCTCTTCATACAAGCAGTGCGCTCTAATGGTACATTGTCACATGCTTCAAGGGGCAGTGCAACGGTTTTAATGTTAAAAGAATTGCCAGTTTGCATTTTTTATATTGTTTATACAAGCCCAAGTGACCAAAAACGCGTCACCTTTCCCCGAAAAACTGCTAATCTGCTCCGTAATCGCAAGGCAAAAAACAAATTATTTGCCGATCTGCAGCCGCCTGTGGGGGCTATGGGAACTAAAATGACGGCATCTCTGGGGGTACGCGGAAGTCATCAAACCCTGTCCCCCTCCGCTGCTACACTCGCTGTCAGCCCCGTGGCAAACCGTCCTTTGTTTCCATCGCTTGCCGCGACCTTCGAGGAGGCTACTCCTTTAAAAGTCGAAAATCGGGAAGGAAGTGGCTGGTCCCTGTAGAGAAGACCCAAGGGGAAACTACGTGAACCCCCCAGAGTACGTCACTCGAAAGTCGACGTGGAGAGTTGAGAGGCACTTCGACCTTGGATCTGTTTAATTTTTTTTAAATAAGAACTAGCACTCGCAAGAAAATGCGGTTTTCTGTTTTTCGTTCCATAGGTGACGCAGGTTAATTTCCGCAGTTAATTGGCCAAAGTCTGAAAATCGTTGCACTGCCCCTTTCAGTACAACGCTTTGATTGGCTCGCTGGGGATTTAGCTTTAGCCTGTTAACCAGTCATCCTGGAACGGGGCACAGTGGCCACTACCTGGTCTGGAGTCAGATTCTAACGTTTGAAGGACTTCATTCTTGCATTGCAGACTGCATTGCAAGCTTGGGCTTGGTTAGGGTCGGGTTCTAATGTCCCTTTGTAGCAGCTGGGGAGCTCAACCTAGCTAGTGTAGTCCGAATGGCTCTGTCCCTGCGTTGCAGACGAGGGAGCAAGGGTGGGATACTAACGTTCCTGCCGGGGTGCTCGGCTCGGCTAGGGTCGGAGAGTAAAACGGCTTCTCGGCTTCTCCTGCAGACGAGAGCCTGGGCTTTGGCCTGGTGGAGTACTGCAGCCGAGCTGTGGCCTGCCAGGCCAAGAACCTCCTGCACAAAAAGCAGGTGCAGCAGGGAGAGATCCACTGCGACTGGCTCGAGCACAACCTGGTCAACTACGCCGACCTGTACCCGCGCTGCCTCTACGTCGGCAACCTGCCCACTACCTTCTGCGACATCTACGCCTTCAGGCAGCTGTTCACCACCGTGGCTAGCCCCACCTACTGTCAGGTCGGTGTCCTCAACGAGGGGGGGGGGGGGGGGGGCGAGGTGAAAAGTTTTGGTTAAAAGTATAGTCAAGCGCTTGCAAATCTTTCCAATTACAGTTGCTCGCGGAAAATAACTAAATTGTTTTTTTTTGTTTTTTTTTTTATTTGTTCATAAAATGTGTGGCATTCAGGCTATGGGTACTGCGATTCACAATTTGTCATTCAATTGTCAATGAACAGAAATATATTGGTTTAGTTCTTGTTTTGACTTGACGCACTGCTCCCGACGTGTTTCTAGGTTGCTGTGCCAACCTCTCGCGTGCATTCAGTAGTCGGGTGCGTGTTTGTCCGTTAATGTAATTTTAATGAACAACTGTAATTAGGAGTCCGGTTAGAAGTCGCTCAACGAACATAGTTGCAGAAATGTTTGCTATAAAGTGATGCAATAATTTAGATAGAAAAATGGCAATGGTGACTTAAATACAATGGGCACGTTCAGAGTTTTCGTTACATCGGCGCTTCCAAAGCGAGGCAAACTATGGTTAGGGTTCGTTGGTAGGGTGTCGAAACACCTGACTGAAAGGGGCAGCTTGCTTGGCACCCAAAGTGGAGTCAATGATTTTTCGAGTTAGCTGGTAGGGTTTCCGCACTCCCGACCGAAAGGGGTCACCTGTTTTGCACCCGGAGCAGTGTCGACTACCGTTAGATTTAGCCGGTAGGGTGTCGCCATGCGTGACTGACGGGGGTGTCTCGTGTTGCACTGTCTGCGCAGCTGTCGATTGTCAACGGTGTGCCACAAGGGTTCGGTGTGGTGGAGTTCCGTCTGCACGAGGATGCGCGCAAGACCAAGGAGCTGCTGCACGGCCACTGCCTCAACGGCAACCGGCTCAACATCCTCTTCACCTCCCCGGGAGTCAGCGCCTACAAGCTCTACAACCGCATCATCGAGGAACAGGTCAGCCCGTCGCTGATCGAGGAACAGGTCAGCCTGTCGCTGCCGCCACCCTCTTAAGGGACTCGCATGCCACACGCGCCTTTGTCGTGAAACATATTTTTTATAGCGCTCCATGAGTCGCATTTGAGTCACTCTACACACGCACCCAGTGGGGTGCGCTTGGACGGATCCTAATCCAATTACAAAGCCTTGCTAAGGCGTCATAATCGGATTATGGCCGTGTCCAAGCGCACCCCACTGGGCAAGATGGCGGTGCGCTGAGACCGCACCTGCAAACGTGTATACTCCACTCCATTCACCCTTAAAGGGACACTGACACCCCACCAAGAAAAGTTTTTATTTTTTTCCGGGCGATTCATTATGGTGTCAGAAGACAACCCAATCAATATTTTGCTACAGTGTCACTACTATCTTTAATAAATTAAAAAAAAAAAAAAAAAAATGCAACTGCTCGAAACCGAAACTTGACTGGGAGGAAGAAGAAATATAGAGGAGAAAGTTATTGGAAGTCACTTTGCTGTGCAACTTTTTTCTGCTTGACTACGTCAAAATTGCCATCCACGAGTCTGCCGGCAAATTTTTCAGAGGGAGGGTCAAAAGAAATCGTCCACTTCTTTCCTCGCAATTATTGTGCTACAAAGGAGCTTCACGCTTAGTGCCATTGCATGCGAGTACACTTGTGTTACACTTGCGTCGACAGGCTCATGCTAAGCTTGTAACATCAAAACCCAGTGCCGTTTCATGGCCCCTTTCAAGGGATGCTAAAACAGAGCGACTTCGTCCATCTGTCGTGCGATCCCCCGCCAACCCGGAGGTCTTTTCTCCCTCCTTCCCCCCCCCTCCCTCTAGCAGGCTAAGAAGATGGAGAAGAACGGCGCGCTTTCTACTCCGCAGCTGTCGCCAGCGCTCCTGGCTCAGTTTTCCGTCGTCCAGAACTCAAAGGGTGAGTGCACTGACCGTCGCGCGCTGCGGAAAGGTTTCCCCGCATCCGAGCCAACAATTGACTCGTGCCGTCTGCTTCATTTTCTCGTTTCTCCGCTTGCCTCGCAGTCGCAAAGACCTTCCAGAAGGCCATCAATCTCAAGGGCAAGGGCAAGAACGCTTCACAGGTAGGCAAACAGACACGCTACGTCGTCTAGTGGCGCGGTCGACGACGAGGTTCTCCGGCGCATGCTTTGTACTTTAGACGACGCTTGGGCGTCTTGCCGCAGCCAAAGCACGGCAAGACATGCCAAAGGCTGGGCGTTTGAAAGTTGCCTTCTGCTTGACGTTATGGTCGAGTGCTTTCCGCGCTTAGCGGCACTTGCGGCGGCGAAAGGACAGATGGAGCCAGGACGTCTGGGCCGGCGTAGTCCGAAAGCTCGATGCACTGAGATGAGAGGCGCAAGTCCACGGCTTCAGAGTGGGGAATGAGCGAAGCAAAATGGTAACAATAATAATAATACTGATGTGCAACTAGAGAAAGAAAAAAAAAAAAAGTTGTATCATGGGGTTTTTTAGCAGTAGGACCTAGTGGTACTCAAGTAGCGCTGCCAAACCGAACCAATTCATGTGCAGTCAACGTAAAATCTAAAATGGTGGCTTCTTGGTGGTGTTTCTTGTCGATCGCTCGGGACAATTTGGTCCGAAAAATGAAACTTTCGGGCTTCAAGTTGTCCGAAACATTGGTCGTGTATATGTACAGTAGAACCTCGTTGATACGATCTCGGTTCATACGATTTCCCGGCTCATACGTTCAGAATCGAGGGCTCGAAAAATGTCCCATAGACTTACGACTGGTTCATACGTTTCTGGATAATACGATTTCCCGGGAAGTACGTCCAAAGTTTCGCTAAACATCGATCGGATTATACGTTTTCTGGGCAATGAGCTCCCAATCTTTCCGGGCAGAACGGTTGTCGCCGCACGCACCGCACGCCGAACGTTCTTGATGTCGATGTGTTCGCTTCTTGATTTTTAGTCGTTTTCATGATAGACACGTGACACGTGACTAAGAGTCACTCTCGGTTACTCTATCAAATGCTTGAAGACACCATTTAAGGCGAGACGCGGGTCTTAAAATGGTAAAAAATCGCGAAATTTGGGGTTTTTCAAAAATCACATGTTTGGATAGAATATAAGTCTGAAGTACCTGCCTGCGAAGTTTCAATGTCCTATTCGACGTCTAAGTATAAAAAAAACGATAAATACGATGCCTCCGCGACGCTCAAATCGCGAATCCAACGCAAAAAAATAGTCAAACTGCGCGCCCGCGTCGCTTCACGACCGATCGTCGGATCGCGGCCATCTTGGTCTTGTTGGGGAGCTGGTTCTCTTCCCTACGTCCTCATCCCACTCACTATCGCGACAACCTTGGAGAGCGTCCGCATTCCGCGGGTTTTCACGACCGGAATAACGATTGCTCATTGGCCCGCGCGCGTACGTCACGGGTACGTCGTGCCGCGCGCGCCTGTCATAGGCCAAGACGCGCCCCTTTCCACTTTTGCTCCTTTCCTCCTCTTGGCGCGCGCGCCTCCAGCAGCGCAAGGGGAGCGTGGAGAAGCGTCGTCTGCTTCGTTTTGGCCCGTCGCTTTGTTCGTTTCGCGGCTGAGTGCATGTTGTTTCGAAATCGTTTACGTTCGCGCGTTCGCGTCGGACATCGTTGGTTTCTCGCTACGAAGTTGCGGGAGTTTTATTTCGAGCGATCGAGATGCCGGGGGACTCTCGATTGAAGGAGAGTACGCGGCGGACGTTCGGGAGGAAGACGCGACGTGCGTGGAACAAGCGGAAGACATCACCTGCAAGTGCGCCGCTACGATCTGCGCCACTGCCGAACGCATTGGATCTGCCGGGACCATCGGCTAGCCTTCCCGTTGACGATGCTGCGGCCTCAAGCTCTGGTCCGGATGGCTCAAGTTTTGCCGGCACCACTCGCGTCGACTCTACCTACTACTCTACGGCCGAGCAAGCGCAGCGCGCCGAGCGATCGGAGCAAAGCAAGCGCGTTTTATTGGAGAAGTCGGCGACCCAGCGGAAGTTCGATCTGCTTGAAGTCAACGGATCATGCCAAACAAGCGATGCCGGGACCCAGTTTGTCATCGTTGACATGAAAGTCCTCAACGACCTCTTCGCGCACGCGAGGTGTGGAAGCTGCGGTGTGGGATCTCTCACGCTCAGCAAGGCCGCGGACAAGGAGTACGGCTTGGCCGTCAAGCTTGTGCTCGTCTGCAGCACTTGCGACTTCCAGAAGAAGCAGTTCTCCTCTCCCAGGGTTGCTGGAACAGCAAAGATCACTCCCTTTGAAGTGAACATGAGGGCCATGAAGGGGATACAATCCATTGGCAAAGGAGTGACAGCCTTGGCAGACTTCTGTGCCTCCATGAACATTTCTCATCGGGGCCTGCACCACAAGACGTACCAGGGACACCTGAAAACGCTTGTGCGGGCATGTGAGAATGCAGCAACCGACAGTGAAGCCGCCAGTGTTGCTGTCGTCAAGGGGCTCTACACAGGCTTTATGAACCGCATTGGCAACATCGATGTCATCTTCGACCGATCATGGATGACCCGAGGACGCAGCTCCCACATTGGTGTAGGCTGCATTGTGGAGTTGTACTCTGGCCTCGTCATCGACCATGTTGTGTACTCCAACTTCTGCCTTGGATGTGCCTTGGGACCGGGCCCCCGAGGACGATGGCTACAGCGACTAGTACGCAACCCACGACTGCCAGAGGAACATTGACTGCAATGCTGGCCGTATGGAGGTGGAGGCTGCGCTCACAATGTTCCAGAGGTCTCTGACCAAGCATGGTCTCCGCTACACCACCGTCCTTTCGGATGGGGACAGCCGGACATTCCATGCCTTGTCTGAAGCGAAGGTTTACGGCTTCATCAAGATAGAGAAGAAGGACTGCGTGAACCACGTCCACAAGCGGATGGGAGCTGCCTTGCGCAACGTTGTTGAGAAGAAGGCACAAGGCGAGTCACTTGGTGGGAGAGGAAAGCTGACACAGGAAAAGATCAAGAAGATCACTAACTATTACGGCTATGCTCTCAGGAGCAACAGCCATGACGTTCCAGGGATGAAGAGGGCGGTGGAAGCCACACTCCTGCAATGACCTCCACAGATGGCGCCCCAGACCACAGCAAGTGCCCCGAGGGAGCGGAGTCCTGGTGCAAGTACAACAGGGCCTTGGCAAACAGTGAGCCTCCGCCGCCGCACAAGAATCCTCTTCCGGATTGTGTTCGGGCTGCACTGGAGCCAGTGTTTGAAAGGCTCAGCAATGAAGACCTGTTGGCACGGTGTAGTGAGGGAAAGACGCAGAATGCCACTGAGAGCATGCATTCGGTGATCTGGACGCAGACTTCAAAGAATGCGAATGCCTCCCTGGACAGCGTGAAGAGGGCTGCGGCTGAAGCTGTTGCTGTCTACAACCAGGGAAGGAGAGCGACCAACGAGTACATTGCTGCAGGCCTGGGCTAGGCCACCGGTGACTGCCTTGTCCGCCGAAGCATCGAAAAGGACAGTCTCCGTTTACGTAAAGCAAACGCGGTGCACCAGAGCAGCAGTAGCGTGAAGGAAAGGTTCTCCAAGCGACACCAGGCAGGAGCATCACGAGATTACAGCCCAGGACAGCTGTAATGGCTTTTTCCAGTGCCATGTGGAACAAAGGCCCTTTTCAGGGCCAAACAAAATTACGTTTGGAGCTTGAAACTCTTGCTCGCCTCTCCCGTTGTCCAAAGTTGTCGGCTCATCACTTTAGAAGCAATTTTTAGCCTATATCAGTAATTCTTCACCATTTTTGCAATCTTCTCAAAAGCAAATTATTGCAATTTTTAAAATGATTTGTTCAGAATGCACTACACTACATCTTGATAACTATTATTGCATAAGGGTTTTCACATAATTTATTGTAGTCAGCGTTGAAACAGGAAAATGTGATTTTATCAACATTTCACTCGTTCTTTACTTCTTTCATATTTTTTTCCTAATGTTCCCATAAATGGATTACATCATCTTTTATGTCAAGTTGTTCATGAAGACTTACACTACACCTTGGTGGCAATTATTATTTATCATTGTTCACACAATTTTCTATGTTCAATGTCAAAACTTTAACTTTGATTTTCTCATCTTCATGTTTTTTGTCAACGTGCTTAGCCTTACGGGGGTTTTCATGAGGTTTTTATCGTAGCATTTTGAAACTTTTTATACCGTTTTATTCAGAAAGGACTGGACTGTGCAGTAAAGCTATTTTTTTGCAGTTTATAATGACAACAAAAATTTTATGATAAATAATGCGACCTCATTAGTGTCATAATTAGCATAATTAGTACATTTTTGTATTATAATGTAATTTTGTGAAAATATAAATAGCTTTATAATGCATGGCAGACCTTTAGCTATGCATCTACATCAATAAAAAAAAATAGTTTTGTTCGAAATGGCCTTAACGACCCGTAAGAAATTAACCAAATTAGGCAACACTATTTTTTATAACTTGAAAACTAATTGAGATATTTTGAAACTGATTTCATATTTGAATTGAGGAAGAAGGAACACATATGCACAGTGATTTTCATTAGTATAGCTGCAAAAATAAAATAGTCCATTTTAGAACCAGTGTCTCGCCTTAAACTGGCTACGCGCCTCTGAGGATGATAAACGCTTCCCTAAGAGTAACTCTTGAGCCATGTACGGGTGGTAGTAAATGAACGAACCTGACAACTTTTTGTTTGACATTTCGCGAGGTCGGCATTCCGCCATTTCTCTGTTGCCGTGCCGTAGTGCGCGTCTGCCTAGCTTCTTTCCGTACCCGTGCCCGATAACCGGCGATGGCATCGCGCAAGCGGAAACCTTTGACTTTGAGGGAAAAGTTGAACATTCTGGCACTTGTCGACCGGGATCCTAAACGGAAAAGAATTGACATCGCCAAGGACCTCGGACTGCCTGCGTCGACGGTCAACACGGTCGTGTCGAAACGGAAGCAAATAGAAGAAAATGCCCTGGTCTTCGGTGCAGCGACGAAACAGGCCCGCGGAGCAAAGCACGGAGAGTTGGAGGATGCACTGCTTAAGTGGTTTAAGCAAGCACGGGCGTCTGGTGTGAACTTCGACGGCAGCATTCTGCGGGAAAAGGCCATGGAGATAGCAGACATCATGGGTATCGAGGATTTCGCAGCTTCGAACGGCTGGATGGACCGATTTCGGGTTCGCCATGGCATCTCGTACCGCCAAGTGAATGGCGAAGCAGCCAGCGTGAATCCGGCGGATATTGAAAACTGGATTTCATTGCTTCCGGGCATTGTGAATGCCTACGCCCCACGCGACGTCTACAACGCCGATGAACTTGGCCTGTTTTTCAAGGTGCAACCCACGAAGTCCCTGAGTTTAAAGGGGGAGTCGTGCCACGGCGGGAAGGTCAGCAAGGATCGAGTAACCGTGCTGCTTTGTTGCAACGAAGATGGCACGGAAATGATCAAGCCGTGGATGATCGGGAAATGGAAGAACCCGACATGCCTGAAAAACCTTGCTCGGCTTCCTTGCGTATATAAGAACAACACCAAGGCTTGGATGACCTGCAGCCTCTTCGAAGTGTTTCTGCGGTACCTCGACGGCCGACTGGGGTGCAAAGACCGGAAGGGGCTTCTCTTTTTGGACAACTGTTCGGCTCATCCGAAGGACACGTCGTTCCTGCGCAACCTCCGAGTCGTCTTCCTGCCGGCGAACACGACGAGTCACCTGCAGCCTCTGGATGCCGGGATCATCAAGAACGTGAAGCACCTGTACAGGAAGTGCATCGTGCGACGCTTCTTGGCTCGCGTCTCCCGAGGCGAGGACCCCGGCAAGCTCACGTTGCTTGATGCAATGCATTACCTCAATGCATCGTGGGAAAGCGTGACCAGCGAAACAGTCAAGAACTGTTTCAGGAAGTGCGGGTTTCGGCGTTCGCCAGAAGTGGAGGAGCCCGAGCCCTGTGTGAGCGGTGACCCCGACCCCTGCGAGACTGAAGATGACATGGACGAGGAGCTCCGGTCCGCCGGTGCGGAGCTGGCGTTCAGCGATTTCGTCGCTGTGGACGACGACGTCCCAACGTGCGACCCCCAAACCGTTGCTGACATCGTGGCGGAGTTGCGACAGGGCCAAGTTACCGGAGACGAGCACGACGTCGACGAGGATGAGGATGAGCCAGAAACTCCTCCAAGAGCTACTTTCGCACAGGCGGTCGCTGCACTGGATGTGCTGCGGAGTTACTTTGCCACAAAAGATAACCCTGCAGCCGAGGGAGGTCTGCAGACGCTGCAAAAGGAATTGTTCCTCCCAAAAGGTCAAGGTGCGCGCCAGCAGAAGCTGACGGATGTTTTCGGTAAATGAGGTACTGTTATTAAACGTTTTTCAGCTGCACTCACGACTTCTGTTTTTTTTCTAATGCCTAGAAATGTCAAATTCGGATCATACGTTTTCCCGGATCGTACGTTTTTTTTCTCGCGTTTTTTTCGAAACGTATCAACGAGGTTCTACTGTACAATATTGCGTAGGTCACGGTTCCTCCTTAAGTTCCGAAATATCGAACGAGTTTGAATTATTGGCGTCCGAAAAGTCGGTCGGCGCCTGTATGTGCACCTTTTGTCTCCGAATTAGTTCTGGAGATTCTCGGTTAAAGAAGTCAGGGGAGACCTGGGCAAGTTGAAGAATTGAGGAATGACCTCTCGGTACTCGTTTGTGAATTCCCGGTTCCGAGTCGTACAGTGGTGAACCTCGTCGGAGGTTTCGGCTCGCAGGGTTCGCTGAGCATGCACTTTGTCTTTGCAGGTCTCCACGACTGCGGCGAGCAACCACGCACTCATAGCCTTGCAGAATTTCTTCAACCAGCAGATCTGCACTCAGCAGGCTTTGGTAGGTTGAACCGCCGGCACTCGTGCTCTCCGCGTCTTTCTCTCTCACTCTACGCCACTCACTCGGTTAGTTAAAAACCACGGTGGCGGCGCCGCTGGCACCTGCTGGTTTGGGTTCACGGCATTGCTTCAAGTTCTGAGCTTCTCAACTCTCGTTTCCAGATCTTTCTCGCTTTGCTCCTTTTCCAGGCTACGAGATGTGCCGTCTGCTTAGCAATCAAGGAGTTCTTTCACGTTTACAGAACACGTCGCTGCCCAGAGCCAACTTCTAGAGATGGAACCATAATGAGCACCAACCGAGGACATTATGAAAATCTCACGGTGGATATTCGATCGCGTGTGACCTGCCAAAGCTCGCTCGTGCACGGCGCGGGATGACAGAGATGTCCCCGTTGTCCTGTGACTGTCGTTTACGTGAAGATCCCCGCTGCCACGCTGTTGTAAAGGAAGTCTGCCGTTCACGGCACGGTCCTATAACGAATGGGCCGTCTAACTTTACAGTTTGTCCGAAAGCTCGCCTTACTCACTGTCCCCTCTCCTCCGTCGAGATAACTCCTCTTTGCGCGCACGTCGAGCTAGGCTGCGCACGTCCGGGGCAGCGGCGCGAGGTTGCTGGGGCGGTCGTAAGAAACGGGCTGCCTTTGGACGTGCGCAGGGTCAGATGGCACTGGGGCTGCCAGCTCCGCCCTCGGACTCCTCCTACGACTCGTCGCAGCAGCCCCAGCAGTCTGGCAACGACGGGGACACCAAGGGCAAGGCGGAGGAGAATGGGGCCCCCGGGGAGGAGCGCAAGCGCAAGAACGAGCCCGTCTACCAGCCGCAGTGTCCACTTAATTATTCCACCATGGATAATTCTAGTAAGCACCCGAGTTGGGCCTTTGAGGGCGCCTGCCAGCAGCAGCAGCAGCAACAGGTACGTAAGGGCGCACACGCTCGAGCCCCCTGATGAAATTCGTGCCTCGCTTCTCCGGGAAGTACCGACGGCCATCGTCGCGCAAATGTACGGGAAGCGTCCCTGGGGCAAGTGCTACGCCGCCGTTTGCTTCCCGACACTGCACAGGGCACGGGCCTTGCGCAGTGGTGCATTCGATGCTAATTGTGCAACAAACGGAAACACATTGATTGGCTTTAGGTCGCGCTGCTTTAGGAGGGATGGTGCGTCTAGCTCGAGAAAGGCGTCAAGCTACGTCGCAGGTTAGATAGCTGTGATCCTGGCGGTTGGCCAGATTCCTCCGTCACACATTTGCCAGTTCTGCAAGCTAGCTCGATTCAGTTTGCGAAACTCGTCGCCCGACGAAAAGTGTTTAGCTGATGACGTCCGCTCCAATGTGCATCCAAATCCGTGCCTGTCGGAGTTTTCTTTTGACGAGCGTCCTCTCGGATCTTTGTTTTCCATTTGCTCCACCAAATGTGCCAGTGGTTCGTGGGAAGCACCACTGAGATTGTAACGATCCAGCGCAGCGCAGTATTGTAACGTCACTCGGACCATCCTGAACCAAATGAAGACATGGTGCGCACTCCAGTTGGATGCGCCTTTCAGGCATTGTAACTGCGCTGAAGAGAGCGTCAGTGTTGCTTAGATCGATGTTGAAAACTGTACTTTTTGAACGGTATCGTTATCGGGACGTATTTTCTTCCATCTCACCGGATTGTTGAGTAAAAAGCTAGAAACAAAGTAATATAAATTCTTAATGGAATTCCTCGTGAAGAAAGATCTCATGCTCTCTTTGACGCTGCGGCTTATGCAACCGGATATTGAGCTTGGGCATTTCCGTCGAGGGTATTCATCGACAATTTCGTTGTTTGCAAGCACAGTTCAGTGCTTAAGAGAAAAAAATACTCCGACACTATGGATGTTGCGCAAGCTACTGCCCATTACAAGAAGTTTTGCAACAACTCGTTTTAGTAATCCAATCATTCATACACTCAGCTTCTTTGCCAGCATTCGAGGGAGAGTGTGCAAGATATAATGCGCTTTTATTTTCCGAAATTTCATGTCAAAAATTAGGAATCAGCCTTCCTAATCTAGTCTTAGTTTTCTTTTGATCCCATGGCATAAACAATATGCAGTTAGTAAAATTATGTCTAATACCGTTTCATGGTCTCTTTAAACAGTTGTGTGTGACAGTATCATTGAACTATTTGTGCACTTTCACGAGGATGCTTATATCAAACGTTCCAGCTTCCACTCGTATAAAGATGTGCTGCAGTTTTGGCAACAGCGGTTGCATCTCCCCTTCTCAGTTTTTCACCACAACCCATTTGCTTCGGATGGGCATAATGAATCGGTTACCTTCAGCACCATTTGAGCATCTTTCCCAGTGCATTAGAACTAGATTCTTGCAAACTTCTTTTTAAAAAAAAGCACCACATAAGAAAATGAATTTTTTCACTAAAAATTTGAAAATGTCATTTTAAATTTACTATCATCTAGAGAGTATTTTCAGAAAGTCTCAATAGTTTACACTGCATAGTTATTTTTTTATGAATTATTTTTGGTCCGCCAATGCTAAGAAGGTAGAGGTTCGAGCACTTTGAACGCATTTTTCTCCATTCCACTTTTTGGAATAAATTTCGCTTTAGGAAATCTATCATTTGAAATGGGACGAAAAGAAAGACTTACTCATTGTTTTTCCTAACTGGAATTTAATGGGCAATGAAACTGTGGCGTTGTTTCTTTGCTTTGTGGGTGTCTTTTACAAAAGATGTTAAGATTTTGTCATCAACATAAATTGCAAAAATATTTATTAGACTTTTCACCACGATGTTAGCGAATAAATTGCTTTTTTGGGAATTTTGTTTTCACAGTTGCACTCTTCAGGCATTCTGCTATGTATCGAGTGAAAATGTTGGGTATTAGGTTAGTTTTCTAACAATAGTTTTTCTAAACGAAGTCGGTGTGTTCCTGATAAAAATAATGACTTTAATATCTTTTATGATTCATGTATGCAGTTGAAACTTTACACGGCATTTTGCTTCACAACTGCCAGCATATACCGTATATTTAATTCATATTAAGCCAAAAGTTTCAAGGGCGACCCTTTTGGGTAGTGTCCCCCCTTAAACATTAATCTGTTGCAATTTTTTTTTTTTTTTTTACTGTTTAGTTTTTTCCATTTAACAGGCAGTGTGAATTTCGAGACAGCTTAGCGCTTTAGGGTACCGAGTTGTGCTCCTGAGCTGGACACCTCTTTAGGTTGGTCATCCATAGAATGTACCCAATGTGCTCAAGCTGGGGGGTGGGGGGGGATGATAGAACAGTACATTGCGAGAGGTTATCGAGTTATTTTGGTCATCCATGGAACCTAGGAAACACTTTTTCCAATTGTATTTCTTTGTCCCCTTTGAGCAAATCTCATTCTACATAGACAACTACGCAAAAGTGTAAGGCGTTTGTGAGGTCGTTGACACAATCTTTGTTTGATTTGTTTTACAAATGTTTCACATTAATTTTGCCAGCAACAGGTGGACATCTATACCTCACTTTTTGCTTTGAAATAATTTTATGAAGGCATTAAACCCTCACTCGGACAAAAAGGCAGTGTGCTTTGCTATTAAAATTTGATGGAGGCATTGGGCCCTCACTATGGCTAAAGGAGGAGACGAGTTTCATCTTAAAACATGGGATTTATAACGATTCGATGCCGGCACTGGGTTTGTAGTGTGACAAAAGAATTAGATACTCTGCGATACCCTTTGTAATATCAAACTGGCTTGTCAAAGCAAATCAACCCTTGATCTGACAAAAAAAAAAAAAGAATGGATTCTTTGCGACTAAAAGTTGTTCGATTGAGACATACAGCCACATCGAAAATGTTGGTGCGTTCTGGGAACGCGGCGGGCTTGGCGACAGTCTCGCGGACGGGTGCAGATGCAAAACAAATGGATAGAAGAAACATGTATCCGTGCCGTGAATGAACCGACACAGTGCCTGTACCGTCTGTGCGTCGTCGATGTCCGCAGCAGCAGCGCCAGGGGGCAGGCGGCTACCCGCAGCAGCAACAGCAGCAGCAGTCCGTGGAGGCGAGCAACGAAGCGATCAACATGTCGAGCGAGAGCCGGGACCAGCAGAGCCCCCAGGGGGCCTCGTGCAGCTGGCAGTCGGCCTGGGCTGGGGGCCAGAACCCCGGGGAGCAGTCCGGCCAGCCCATCATGGGCCAGGGCTCCTCCTACGACAAGCAGGTGGGCACCCCTACCCCCCCACACCGGGCTCTTGCATGCCCGACGACGGAGCTCGGTTTCTCGGCCGCTAGGGTGCCGGCCGACTTTGGTGCGGTCGCAAAGTTGTGTCTACTGTTCTACTCATGCACCTTTATGTTTTGACACGAAGATTAGACAGTTGTGTGGGATAGAAGCCTACACTAATACACTAAAAAAGCTAAAATTGCAGTACAGTAAAGCCTCGTTGATATGTTCCTGGTTCATATTTTCACGGGTGAGAGCATGAAAAATGTCCCATAAACTTGCGCTGTTTTTTTTGTTTTTTTTTCTTGGTTTATACATTTTTGAAAAACGGCTTCTAGCAGCAGATGCAGAGCAGTCTGCCCGCTGATAACGCCGCCGGTGCGTCTATTGTTCTCCGCAACCTCCGAGAGCCGTCAAGGTGCACGAGGGTGTTTTGATTGGAATTACAGATCACACAGTGCTGTTTCACTGTCTTAGCTCATTATTCGATTAGTCAAAGAATCTTTTCTATGAAATAATAACAAAGGATTCCAAGTACATACTTTACGTATCCCGATTGCAACTCCAGCGGCTTGGGCGAGAATGTCGGCACTCTTCGCCGGCGTTCTCGGCTGTTGGCTGTTGGCGGTTAGCGCTGTCCCGCTGATGCTGTCCGTCATTTTCCTTTTGCCAAGTACTACCGCTGGAGAAAGTGGCGCAAATGCTGTCGTAACGAGCAACCAAAGCAGCAGCGTGAAAATCAAAACCCAAGTACGGCCGTCTACTGGTTGAGCTTCGCCCGTGCGAGCACATGTCCACTTCAGTTGTCAGCTCTGGAATAGCATGTTCGCTTATGGCTTTTTAAGTGTTTTCGAAGTAGACACGTGATAATGGGTCACTTTCGGTAATTCCAGCCAGCACTTTGAGGCTTTGTTCGAAGGGTTGAAAGCACCGATTGCAAGAGTGCACAAGAGTAACTCAAGACGTACAAGGGTGTAGTAGCGGTAGTAGTGAGTGAATGAATCTAGCATTTCTTTGTTTCTTTCTTTGCATTGGTTCAGCACCGGTTGCTTCATCAAGTTTCGCCAACGCTTTGGCAGCTTTAGTTTTGCGTTCCGCCCCAAGTCTGCGCTATCCCATTCTGCCATTTTTCCTGTGCCGTGTAAGCTCGTTTCGTTCTGCGATCGCGTCGCGAAAGCGGCGCCATCGCAGGACTGCTTGTTATTGCGTGTTTTTGAAGTATTTCTTTTTTTTTCTTGCGTGTGTGTTTGTGTGGGCCTTTAAAATTGTAATTGCAGATCATATGTTTTCCTGGGCAATATGTTTTTTGTTACAGTTTCTTCAAACCGTATCAACAAGGTTCTACTGTACTAGGAGAAAAGTTTGATAAAAAATGTAATTTCAGTTGGTTTAGGTACTTCTGGTTCAGTAGAAAAAACACAAAATTTGGAACAACATGATATATGTATGACAGGAATACTCCTAATAATTACCGAAAAACATGTTCCTCAACATGGCCTAAAATGCATGGTGAGTTAATACTTACCCTGTGTTTTTAAGCTGTCAAGACGGGTATAGCCGTCTATTTGCAAACGAGTAGGAAGTGGCGGTACCTAGTGGTAGAAATGCAAAACCAAAAAAGAAGGTCGCACGATAGCCGACTAGTTGCCAGTGTGCCTGATACGTTTAGCTTTGCCATTTCTGTGGGAATGCATGGCAAAATTGCAGATTTTGTTTAATGTAGGACCCAAACTCATAAACCCTTCAGATTGCGTAGTCGGATCATTCGCAGACCTTAGATCTAAAAGTTGTAATCGCACTTCTAGAGGTTGTGTCCGCCTGCCAAGTCTCGCGGTTTCGCTCGCATTGCAGGAATCCGAGATGTCTCCGTCAGATCGCAAGCGCAAGGTGCACCAGCTGATGCCGTCGCCGGAACCAAGTCCCGAGCACGGCTACATCGGCCAGCACTCCCAGGCGCTGGGAGGCCATTACGCCGACTCATACTTCCGCTACAAAAAAATGAAAGTGGGCACCTAAGCGGGAGTATGGGCCCCACCGCCCCAGCCGCGCTTCGGAGCCCTCCCCCCGAACCCTTACTTCCCATGCTTCAGAGGCTGCGAGTCCTATCGACTCAAAGAGAACAAGACAACAACAACAAAAAGCGTAGAAGGCCCTTGTTCAACGCAGCGACCTTCCTCGTCTCTCTGTTCGATCCTGTTCCCCCTCCCTTCCCCTTACGACCTTTTGCAGTTGTCGCTTGAGGTTGCCCTCTCTTTTTCTCTCTGTTTCTCGAGTTGTTTGTACCACATCCGTTTTCGTGTCTGTCATCGATTCGTCGCGCCTTTCGGTGCGAGAGGGGTCAAGGAAGCAGGGGTGATCGAGACTAGCGAAAGAGCCACGTTGCAGACGGAACTTAGGTCGTCTGCTCCGCAACGTGCGGGAGGTGCCCCTTTTAAAGTTTTCACTTTCGAAGACCCTCGGGAGGACAGACGTATGCAACGCCGCGTTTCGTTTTAAGCTATCCTGTTTTAGCGCGTCGCGGGTACAAACGGTCATCCGAACCAACCGGAATATGTGCCGTCGAAAGGCGTCTCCAACCTGTCTTCCGTTCGTGGAGTCGTGTGGTTCGTCCCTGCCCCGAAACCTTGTTTCGTTTCATTTCCCGATTGGGAGTTTCGTATCCTGGTGACGTTAGTTTGGGGATGACGCAGCAAGTTTTCGCTCTCTAACGAAGACGCGAGAAGCATCAAAACACAAGGAGCGTTGGGGTCCCGAGACAGCGGGCCTGGAGCCGGGTCGGGTCTTTTTCTTTTTCCCCGAGCACGCCCGCCCGCAAAACGAGAAGTTGGACGCTTCTCCCTCCCTCTGCAAGCCGCCGTCAAAGTTGTTCCATTTATGCGAACGAAAGAAACAAAAACAATGCCACCTATGCAGGCTCTTCCACGAGAGTTCCACGCCGGCCCGCTGTCTCACGTCACATACCCCAACCACCTTGCAAAGGTTAACACTTGTGCACAGCCAACAAGTAAACGAAAACCGACTCGCAAAAAAAAATGTCTTGTCAAACACCCCTGCTCCCAGCAAAAAAAAAAAAAAAAAAAGCCTGCTTTGTCGCGTTTTGAGCGGCCACTGCAGTGAAGCCGGCTTTACGTGGTGTCTCCTGGTACACATTCTGCAGACCGCCGTCGCGGACAATTTTTTCTGCGGGCCGCATTTTTAGAGATTCGTGGTGGCCTCGCCAATCAAATCTTTTTTTCCCCTTATCGTTTCTTTGTACATGTAAAGCCTCGTTCTTCTTTTCATCTTTCCCCCTCCCCCGTCTGCAAGTTCAGCACCTGATGCAATGTCGAGTTTTCTTTGTTTCACCTGTACAAAGATGACGATGCTGAGGCGAGTTTGTCGAGAAGGGTCTCCGTTTTTATTTTTATTTTTGCACCCATTGAGTGTGGCTGCTCCGGTTCCTTGTGCTTGCAGACCGTGTTGTCGAAGTGCATTCTCCCTTACTGTGTTGCGAGGTGAAGGCGACCTCGAAGTTACAAGACGAAAGGCGAGCGTACAATGTGGAAGCCCCTCTCCATATTTTTTTTTTTTTTCATTTGTTTCGCCGCTGTTGGCTTTTTCAGACTTGTATATCTCAAGATCAAATGCTACCCATGCAAAATACGCCGTGTATCTATTTTTTTTTTTTCATTGTGTTGTATTATTGTTACATTTATTTTGTGGACACACTACAAGCGCGCGAAAGTGTTTTTGTTCCTCTGTGCAGTATCTTGAGTTCCCTCCCCGTTTTAGCCACGTAGGCCGCCACGGTTTTACACGGACCTACACGCGTGACCCTGTTCGTTCTTTTGCGTGAGGAGGCTCCGTTTTTATAACCCCACTTTTAAACCTCGCGCGACCAGTGTTGCACGATTTGTTTTCGTTTTTTTTTTTCCTTGAGTTTGAATGAGTTGTCATAATCGTCCCTCTCCTTATGATTGTTGTACATATAGCCATCGCCCTCCCCCCTTCCCAAGGACTGCTTCACAGTTAACCATACCAGGCATACTTTCCTAGCAAAGACTTTGCCCAGTATTTTGCGACTGGAGGTAGGCGGCAGTAGTGTGGTAGCTTGTTTGGCGGTAGAATCGCCATCTTATCTCGTAGCACGTTTTGTGGCTTCACCCTCCTCTCCCCCCTTCGTATTTATATACAGCCCGACTATACACCACAGTAACTTCCACCAGTAAATGCTTGGTCCGATCAGGGTTTTTTTTCCGTAGTGCCATATATGCGATTACACTACCAGGTCTAATGTCGATGCAAAGTGCATGGAGTATAAAATGGCGCCTGTTGGTTGGTATTTTCGCCTCCTTTTAGAATGCCTTCTCGCTTCCAGTCTTTTTTTTTTACTTTCCGGTGCTTGTTCGCGAACGTCGTCCGTCCCGCGGCTGTAGGCCTCGGGTGTGACAAAACGCTCCGCGCGTCTCGTTCCTCGACTTTTTTCCCGCCTGCTGCTAGTCGTCTCTCCGCTACGTGCAACGTATACTCATTTGTATCCATTCTGTGTATATAATTACCAGTCAATGTTACGTTTCAAGGAAATAAAAGCTCCGTACTCTCAAAGCATTTTCAGTCTTGTTAGAATCATTACCTACTATCAACGCAAAATGTTGTAAGCCTTCATATGGTAGCGTTTTTTAACGTCTCTGAACCCTTATAAATACTCAGAAATATGGGACAAAACGTGCGGAGAGCAAGTCGTCTGCTTGCTCAGGAGTTGCAGTGTCGTCAGATCGAGGCCTAGCTCCGATTGGCTTTGATTGAAAGGATAGTGGGTATAGACGCTTTCAGGCAGCTGTGCATGGGCGCTGCCATAACTGACCTTCAGTTTTGGTTGCCTCTTATTCCGTTCGCTCCACTTGATCACTACCACAGCAGGAGAGGTTATTGCCATTTTAAGTGTTACTGCATCCTTCTCCCCAGCATAGGCCCTTGTGGAGTCTCGTCAGCGCCCGCTTCAGTGGCTTGGCATCTTGGTAAGACGAGAAGGTCGGCTATGGCGGCTCAATCTGGCACGCGCTGAAAGTGTCTATACCTCAATAGTAGATGCCTGTTCTTTTTTTAATCGGATAATAAGAGCTCGGCGTTCTGACATTGCAACCCCCATGTAGGAAGCAAACTAACTTGCACTCCGCATCATATTATTTAGAATATATTTGCCTACTATAAAAGCAAAAAACTAGCGAACACCTGCAATCAACCAGCATTTAAATAAAGTCGTAGTGATGAATTTTCGGTGTCGCCTAATTCGAACACTACTCTCAGCCGGCACATTTGTTTAGATTGCCCTGCATTGGCCTTTCTACGGCTTTATCTAGGGACTGTTGGATCATCTGTGCTACTCTCTCACTCTCTTCAGTGTCGCAGATACTACGGGAGTGAAGCGGAGCATACAGGATACAAAACATCCCCATCACAGTGATCCCTTATCATTCGCTGTGCGTGGCCTGTCGGAATTTTTGTGGTGACGCAATGTTTATCGGATAACACACACCACAGCGCACTATCGCAAATAACACTCACACCTTACACACGAAAAATAAAGCAAAATTCAAACAAACCGCGCTGACTGACAACTCTTTTTATATAACTTTGTCTTCTTCAACCTCTAGCACCACCGAATTTCCCAATTCACGCGCACCGATCTCCTAGATGCCTAAAAATGTTTTCTCTTTTTCTGTCAGGTGTAAAGATGGTGTACTTATACAGTTGTTGTAGTTCCTGGCGATATGTTCTGCTTCGATAATTTCTCGAGTTAATTGGTTTCTGTTCCTGCCTAAAATTGTACAGGATGGCAAGTGAACGTCGCACCCACAATCCCGGCAGTGTATGCCTAGGTGCCCTGAGTTGGCTCTGGAGCTGTTGTTGTTGTGTTCCCGGAGCCTATCGTTAAGGCATCGTCCGGTCTGACCAATGTACACTTTCCCGCACGAAAGGGGAAATGAGTACACCACTTCATCGGCACACTCAACGAACCTGTTTTGATGGTTTTTGGTGCAGCATACTGTTCGGTGGAAATCAGGTGAGTTGACTTGTTTACACAAGTTGCCAAGCTTATTGGGAGCAGTAAAGACGACAGTGATGTTGAACTTGTTTGCAATTTTCTTGATTCCATGGGAGAACCTGTGGAAGTATGGAAGCACGACAGGTCTCGTAGATCTTTCTCTGGCTCTTGGTGTGATATATGATGTATTTTTTGTTTTCAAGATGCTCTCAGCAATCGATGTTAATAATGACGTGGGATATCCGGCGGATGTTAATCTGGAAATTTGGGCATCGAAGCTTATTGAAATAGAATGCTCGCAAGATTTTTGAAGAGAGTTACTTAGACATAATTTGACGATTCCTCTTTTTACTAGCTTAGAATGTGCCGAATTGTACGGAAGAATTGGTTTTTTATTCCTTGGCTCATATTTCCAGCATATATGAGTGTGTTGTAAATTGAGCCTGAGATCGAGGAATCGGATTGATCTTTCTTCCGGAAGCTCGTAAGTAATTTCCAGTGGTTTCAGGCAGTTTTTAAAAGTAGATAGAACACCGGCAATAGTGGTTGGAACATTACTGTTCTCGGCGTCAAGAATGATCAAATAATCATCGACGTACCGAAATATTCTAGCAACTCTGGTGGAGTCAAGCCAATTGTTCAAGAGTCTGTCTTGGTGGGCGAGATAGAGATCACTTAGCACTGGGGCAATGCACGACCCAATGCAAACACCTTTCTTCTGTAGATACGTTTTTTCTTTCCAGGTAATAAAGGTGGAGTGTAGATAAACCGAGAGTAGATGTAGAAAATTGTCTTCGGAAATACCCGCAGAATTTTGGAACGCTATGCCACCAAAGGAATCAATACTCTCTTCTACACATCGCAAAAGACCGTCCTGGGGCAGTTCGTAGTACAGGTCTTTTATGTCGATGGAAAAAGCTTCTAGGTGATCATAACTCTGCTGTGACAGGAATTGGATGACCTCGTTGGAACTCTTAATTAAGAAAGGGTCGTCAATTGTAAGAAGGTTTAGCTTTTCTTTGAGAAAAAGGGCGAGTGATTTTTGCCAAGTTCCCTTTTCGGATACAATGACTCTGAAGGGATAACCGGGTTTATGGGTTTTGGCACTGAAAAATACACTGAGGCTTAGCAACTTGTTGCGATCGATGTGGGTGCAAAGACTTTTCAGTTCATACGACTGGCACAATTGTCTAGCATATTTTTTGGCCTTACTCAGGGAGACATCTTCTTGACATTGAAAAACTGACTCAATCGCTGAGATGGCTTTTGTCCCATACATATCTTGGTGCATGACAGCGAAGCCTCCTTCCTTGTCGACAGGCAAAAGAAATAAGGAATTCTCTTGTAGATATTGAACCACCCTCCTGGTAGAAACAGAAGAGGCCTGCGGTACTTTTCGGAGTAGCAGGTCAACTCCTTCAGATGTTACCCGGTCGACTTCCAACTCAGGAACACGGCGCGAGACCTGGCGGACAAACGATAGCATTTCATGCCGTGACCTTTTTGGTTCCACAGCAAATTTTGGACCAAGACTGAGAACCTTTTGCACAGCGTGGGGGAGATGAATGTCACCTATGACATGCACAGGATTGCTGGGACCTTTCACCTTTTTGGGTGTGAGATTGCGGAGATGTCTCAAAGTAAGTCGCCATAAATATTCTGTTAGGCGATCGGCGTGCAGAGAGTGTTCACGCCACATGCTCCTCCCAAACGGAAGATTGCATAGGCTCACGTAAAGAGAAGTCCGGTAAAAGCGGGTCTGTCTATGCCATTCCGATTGCAGTATCTTGCACATTCGAGTGCCATGGCCGAGTGATGGGGCGAAGATTCCAAAAAGGGCTTTTACCTCAGGTGGTATCAACTTGTTGCGGATGCAATATCCGAAGGATCTTGCCTGACAAACGCTAATGGCAATCCAGATGACAAGGAAACTTGGGGTCCAGGAGAGATGCGGAGAAAAGCCCGATGTACTAGAAATGTATCTTGTTAACGTAGCAGCTTGGGCGAGTTGGTTGCACATGATAACACACACCACAGCGCACTATCGCAAATAACACTCACACCTTACACACGAAAAATAAAGCAAAATTCAAACAAACCGCGCTGACTGACAACTCTTTTTATATAACTTTGTCTTCTTCAACCTCTAGCACCACCGAATTTCCCAATTCACGCGCACCGATCTCCTAGATGCCTAAAAATGTTTTCTCTTTTTCTGTCAGGTGTAAAGATGGTGTACTTATACAGTTGTTGTAGTTCCTGGCGATATGTTCTGCTTCGATAATTTCTCGAGTTAATTGGTTTCTGTTCCTGCCTAAAATTGTACAGGATGGCAAGTGAACGTCGCACCCACAATCCCGGCAGTGTATGCATAGGTGCCCTGAGTTGGCTCTGGAGCTGTTGTTGTTGTGTTCCCGGAGCCTATATCGTTAAGGCATCGTCCGGTCTGACCAATGTACACTTTCCCGCACGAAAGGGGAAATGAGTACACCACTTCATCGGCACACTCAACGAACCTGTTTTGATGGTTTTTGGTGCAGCATACTGTTCGGTGGAAATCAGGTGAGTTGACTTGTTTACACAAGTTGCCAAGCTTATTGGGAGCAGTAAAGACGACAGTGATGTTGAACTTGTTTGCAATTTTCTTGATTCCATGGGAGAACCTGTGGAAGTATGGAAGCACGACAGGTCTCGTAGATCTTTCTCTGGCTCTTGGTGTGATATATGATGTATTTTTTGTTTTCAAGATGCTCTCAGCAATCGATGTTAATAATGACGTGGGATATCCGGCGGATGTTAATCTGGAAATTTGGGCATCGAAGCTTATTGAAATAGAATGCTCGCAAGATTTTTGAAGAGAGTTACTTAGACATAATTTGACGATTCCTCTTTTTACTAGCTTAGAATGTGCCGAATTGTACGGAAGAATTGGTTTTTTATTCCTTGGCTCATATTTCCAGCATATATGAGTGTGTTGTAAATTGAGCCTGAGATCGAGGAATCGGATTGATCTTTCTTCCGGAAGCTCGTAAGTAATTTCCAGTGGTTTCAGGCAGTTTTTAAAAGTAGATAGAACACCGGCAATAGTGGTTGGAACATTACTGTTCTCGGCGTCAAGAATGATCAAATAATCATCGACGTACCGAAATATTCTAGCAACTCTGGTGGAGTCAAGCCAATTGTTCAAGAGTCTGTTGAGTCTGTCTTGGTGGGCGAGATAGAGATCACTTAGCACTGGGGCAATGCACGACCCAATGCAAACACCTTTCTTCTGTAGATACGTTTTTTCTTTCCAGGTAATAAAGGTGGAGTGTAGATAAACCGAGAGTAGATGTAGAAAATTGTCTTCGGAAATACCCGCAGAATTTTGGAACGCTATGCCACCAAAGGAATCAATACTCTCTTCTACACATCGCAAAAGACCGTCCTGGGGCAGTTCGTAGTACAGGTCTTTTATGTCGATGGAAAAAGCTTCTAGGTGATCATAACTCTGCTGTGACAGGAATTGGGTGACCTCGTTGGAACTCTTAATTAAGAAAGGGTCGTCAATTGTAAGAAGGTT